ATATTCCGCAAGAAGAGCAACCCCAAGGCACATAATCGTCAGATTCAACAAGGTTGAAATAAAGGAGAAAATACTAAGGGCAGCCAGAGAGAAAGGTCGGGTCACCCACAAAGGGAAGCCCATCAGATTCACAGCAGATCTCTCAACAGAAACTCTACAAGCCAGAAGAGAGTGGGGGCCAATATTCAACATCCTTAAAGAAAATAACTTTCAACCCAGAATTTCAAATCCAGCCAAACTGAGCTTCAGAAGTGAAGGAAAAATAAAATCCTTTGCGAACAAGCAAGTACTCAGAGATTTTGTCACCACCAGGCCTGCTTTACAAGAGCTCCTAAAAGAGGCACTACACATAGAAAGGAACAACCAGTACCAGTCATTCCAAAATCACACTAAATGCTAAAGAGCATCAACATAATGAAGAATCTACAACAACTAACGGGCAAAACAGCCAGCTAGCATCAAAATGGCAGTATCAAATTCACACATAACAATATTAACCCTAAATGTAAATGGGCTAAATGCACCAATCAAAAGACACAGACTGGCAAATTGGGTAAAAATCCAAAACCCATCAGTGTGCTGTATCCAGGAAACCCATCTCACATGCAAGGATACACAAAGGCTCAAAATAAAGGGATGGAGGAAGATTTACCAAGCAAATGGAGAGCAAAAAAAAGCAGGAGTTGCAATTCTCATCTCTGATAAAATAGACTTTAAAGCAACAAAGATCAAAAGAGATAAAGAAGGCCATTACATAATGGTAAAAGGATCGATACAACAAGAAGAGCTAACGATCCTAAACATATATGGACCCAATACAGGAGCACCCAGATACATAAGGCAAGTTCTTAACGACTTACAAAGAGACTTAGACTCCCACACAATAATAGTGGGAGACTTTAACACTCCACTGTCAATATTAGACAGATCAACCAGACAGAAAATCAACAAGGATATCCAGGGCTTGAACTCAGACCTGGAGCAAGCAAACCTGATAGACATTTACAGAACTCTCCACCCCAAATCCACAGAATATACATTCTTCTAAGCACCACATCACACCTACTCTAAAATTGACCACATAATTGGAAGTAAAGCACTGCTCAGCAAATGCAAAACAACTGAAATCATAACAAACAGCCTCTCAGACCATAGTGCAATCAAGTTAGGACTCAGAATTCAGAACCCAACCCAGAACCGCACTGCTTCATGGAAACTGAACAACTGGCTCTTGAATGTTGACTGGATAAACAATGAACTGAAGGCAGAAATAAAGAAGTTCTTCGAAACCAATGAGAACGAAGACACAACATGCCAGAACCTCTGGGACACATTTAAAGCAGTCTCTAGAGGAAAGTATATAGCAATAAGTGCCCATATGAGAAGAATGGAGAGATCCAAAATTGACACCCTATCGTCAAAATTGAAAGAGCTAGAGGAGCAAAATCAAAAAAACTCAAAACCCAGCAGAAGACAAGAAATAACTAAGATCAGAGCTGATCTGAAGGAGATTGAGACACGAAAAACCCTCCAAAAAAATCAAATCCAAGAGCTGGTTTTTTGAAAAGATCAACAAAATAGACAGACCACTAGCCAGATTGATTAAAAAGAAAAGAGAGAACAACCAAATAGATGGAATAAAAATGATAAAGGGGAAATCACCACAGATTTCACAGAAATTCAAACCATCATCAGAGAATATTACAAACAACTCTATGCACATAAACTAGTAAACCTGGAAGAAATGGATAAATTCCTGGACTCCTGTGTCCTCCCAAGCCTGAACCAGGAGAAAGCTGAAACTATGAATAGACCAATAACAAGGTCTGAAGTCGAGGCAGCAATTAAGAGCCTACCACACAAAAAAGCCCAGGTCCAGACGGATTCACAGCCGAATTCTACCAGACACACAAAGAGGAGCTGGTACCATTCCTTCTGAAACTATTCCAAATAATCCAAAAAGAAGGAATCCTTCCCAAATCATTCTATGAGACCAATATCATCCTGATACCAAAACCCGGCAGAGACCCAACAAGAAAAGAAAACTTCCGGCCAATATCCATGATGAACATAGATGCAAAAATTTTCAATAAAATATTGGCAAGCCGATTGCAACAGCAAATCAAAAAACTTATTCATCATGATCAAGTAGGATTCATCCCGGGGATGCAAGGCTGGTTCAACATACGCAAGTCTATAAACGTAATTCACCACATAAACAGAACCAAAAACAAAAACCACATGATTATCTCAATTGATGCAGAGAAGGCATTTGACAAAATTCAACAGCCCTTTATGCTAAAAACCCTCAATAAACTCGGTATTGATGGAACGTATCTCAAAGTAATAAAAGCTATTTACGACAAACCAACAGCCAATATCATACTGAATGGGCAAAAACTGGAAGCATTCCCTTTGAAATCCAGCACTAGACAAGGATGCCTTCTCTCACCACTCCTATTCAATATAGTACTGGAAGTTCTAGCCACAGCAATCAGGCAAGAAAAAGAAATAAAGGGTATTCAAATAGGAAAGGTGGAAGCCAAATTGTCTCTATTTGCAGACGACATGATAGTATACCTAGAAGACCCCATCGCCTCAGCCCAAAAACTCCTGAAACTGATAAGCAACTTCAGCAAAGTCTCAGGATATAAAATCAATGTGCAAAAATCACAAGCCTTCCTCTACACCAACAACAGACTTAAAGAAAGCCAAATCAAGAAGGAACTGCCATTCACAATTGCTACAAAAAGAATAAAATACCTTGGAATACAACTCACAAGGAATGTAAGGGACCTCTTCAAGGAAAACTACAAACCACTGCTCAACGAAATCAGAGAGGACACAAACAGATGGAGAAACATTCCATGTTCATGGTTAGGAAGAATTAATATCATAAAAATGGCTATACTGCCCAAAGTAACTTACAGAATCAATGCTATACCCATCAAGCTACCACTGACTTTCTTCACAGAACTGGAAAAAACCACCATGAACTTCACATGGAACCAAAAGAGAGCCCGCATAGCCAAATCAATTCTAAGCAAAAAGAACACAGCGAGGGGCATCACACTACCGGATTTCAAACTATACTACAAGGCTACAGTAATCAAAACAGCATGGTACTGGTACCAAAACAGAGATATAGACCAATGGAACAGAACAGAGGCATCGGAGGCAACACAACATATCTACAACCATACAATCTTTGATAAACCCGACAAAAACAAGCAATGGGGAAAGGATTCCCTGTTCAACAAATGGTGTTGGGGAAACTGGCTAGCCATGTGCAGAAAGCAGAAACTGGACCCCTTCCTGACACCTTACACCAAAATTAACTCCAGATGGATTAAAGACTTAAACATAAGACCTGGCACCATAAAAACCCTAGAGGAAAATCTAGGCAAAACCATCCAAGACATAGGAGTAGGCAAGAACTTCATGAACAAAACACCAAAAGCATTGGCAACAAAGGCCAAAATAGACAAATGGGACCTAATGAAACTCCACAGCTTCTGCAAGGCAAAAGAAACAGTCACTAGAATGAATCGGCAGCCAACAGAATGGGAAAAAATTTTTGCAGTTTACCCATCTGACAAAGGGCTGATATCCAGAATTTACAAAGAACTCAAACAGATTTACAGGAAAAAAACAAACAAGCCCATTCAAAAGTGGGCAAAGGATATGAACAGACACTTTACGAAAGAAGACATATATGAGGCCAACAATCATATGAAAAAATGCTCATCGTCACTGGTCATCAGAGAGATGCAAATCAAAACCACATTGAGATACCATCTCACGCCAGTTAGAATGGCGATCATTAAAAAATCTGGAGACAACAGATGCTGGAGAGGATGTGGAGAAAAAGGAACACTTTTACACTGTTGGTGGGAGTGTAAATTAGTTCAACCATTGTGGAAGACAGTGTGGCGATTCCTCAAGGCCTTAGAAATAGAAATTCCATTTGACCCAGCAATCCCATTACTGGGTATATATCCAAAAGACTATAAATCGTACTACTATAAGGACACATGCACACGAATGTTCATTGCAGCACTGTTTACAATAGCAAAGACCTGGAATCAACCCAAATGCCCATCGATGATAGACTGGATTGGGAAAATGTGGCACATATACACCATGGAATATTATGCAGCAATCAGGAATGATGAGTTTGTGTTGTTTGTAGGGACATGGATGAATCTGGAGAACATCATTCTCAGCAAACTGACACAAGAACAGAAAATGAAACACCGCATATTCTCACTCATAGGCGGGTGATGAAAAATGATAACACATGGACACAGGGAGGGGAGTACTAAACACTGGGGTCTATTGGGGGGAAAAGGGGAGGGCCAGTGGGAGGGGGAGGTGGGGAGGGATAGCCTGGGGAGAAATGCCAAATGTGGGTGAAGGGGAGAAAGGAAGCAAAACACACTGCCATGTGTGTACCTATGCAACTGTCTTGCATGTTCTGCACATGTACCCCACAACCTAAAATGCAATAAAAAATTTAAAAAAAAAAAAGAAGTCTGCACCTAGCTCCCTGAGGCCTGCTTATAAAAATGAGGAAGAGGCTATTCTGCTTTCCAGTGAGAATATTCACCAGCTAAGTGCTGGGCTGCCCACGAGGCAAACAGCCCCCTAGGCCTGGGATGCCACCGGTAGCATGGCAGGACATTCAGTACAACTCAAGAAGCCCCCAAAAACATGAGAGGCTGAGGGAAAGTGCTCCCTGGCCCAGCTCTAGTGTTTCCCAGTAAGGAGCTGCCCTGGCAGAAACAGGGAGGCCCACTCATCCTGAGAGTCTGGGCCTGAGCTGCAAACACAACTGCCTGGAGAGTCTGCCTCCTGGCTCTGCAGACAGGCTCTAGGTGATAACTGGCAGAGTACCCGCCTGGAGATGCACGCACTGTGTGTAGTATGGGCCTGTACCTGCTGCAGCATCAGCTAGTCTAGGCCTCTACCCTTGGTCCGCCTATAGACACCATGCGGCCCATCTGGATATTTGGCTCTGAGCCTGGTCTACCCAGGCCTGTTTTGACCCCACCCCCTGGCCACGCCCCTTGCGGGTTTCCTCTGGATGACTTTTCCTTCCTGCTCTGGCTGACTGGGGACTGTTCCTGCTGGTTGGTATCCCAGGACCAGGAGAGGTCTGAAGAGACCTGAGAACAAGCAGCCCTGGACTCAGCTCTGAGTTCTGAAAGCCCATTCCCTGCTCTGCAGCTCTTCCCACCCCACCTCTTCTCAGCCTTGCAGCTCAAGTGTTGATCTAAGGAGTCCAGGACCCAGGAGAAGGAAGACTCTGAGGAACACAGAACAGTGAGCATTGCCCACACCCCATACTCCATCACCACATCTCCCTTCACCCTCACCCTCCTTGCCTGGCCCTAGGCCCCATCCCAGCACCTCAGTATCAGCTGACTTCTTCCAATGTCCCGCAGGACCCTCTGGGCTCCTCCCTCCTCTGACTTTTCCTACCACTCCCCTTCTATCGGCATCTATCTGCAGGTGCCCTGGGGTTTATAAAACTGGGTTCTGAATGCTGAATAAGAGACAGTAAGAGCCAAGGCAAAGGAGAGCACTGTTCTTTGCCTGCCTGATACCCTCACCACCCGTAAACATCCCCCAGATACCCCCTTAACTCTGGGACAGAGATGGCTGGTGGAGCCTGGGGCCGCCTGGCCTGTTACTTGGAGCTCCTGGAGAAGGAGGAGCTGAAGAAGTTCCAGTTTCTGCTGACCAATAAAGTGCACTCCAGGGGCTCTTCAGGTGAGACACCTGCTCAACCAGAGAAGACAAGTGGCATGCAGGTGGCCTCACACCTGGTGGCTCAGTATGGGGAGCAGCAGGCCTGGGACCTGGCCATCCATATCTGGGAACAGATGGGCCTGAGGTCACTGTGTGCCCAAGCTCAGGAAGAGGCAGGTGAGTAGACAAAGGACACCTCTGCCTACTGGAGAGCTCCTGACCCCCACTCCTCCCCTTCCCTCTTGGGACCCCAGCATCACCACTGAACCCTCCCTGCCAGGCCTTCCTCTGGACAGTGACATGGAACTGCCCTGTCAAAGGGAGATTCATGCCCCAGACTAGGCTCGAGCCCGAAGGCTTGCTGGGGGGTCCTTGCTGCACCTCAGAGCCCCACACCTTCCCTCTTTTATTCAAGTGCATTCCTAGGACCTCATGTGGTCCCCATAGTACCTGGGAGGGAGCGCCCAAAGGGCCCAAGAAGGGAGAGAGAGGTTGACATTCAGAAGGACACCGGCAAGGGTGGGCATGGGTTTTAGATCAAGCTCCCAAGTGGGGCACTTGCCTGGCATTATAGTTATGAGCACAGACTTGGGAGTCAGGCACTATCACCAGTCCTGGTACTATGGCCCTGGGCAAATCACTTCACTGCTCTCCACCTGTTTCTCTGTCTGCAAAATGGGAGAGTGAGAGCCCGCCTCCCTGGGCTGTGTGAGAGTTAAAAGAGCTCATCCATGTTAAACATTTAGCACAGAGTCTGATATATATTAAGTGCTCAATAAATAAGATCTCTCATTGCTGTTACTGCTGCTGCTTCTGTTATTAGCACTGCTAGCCACCCTGAGTAGCAGATGCTGTTAGCCCAGTATGGCACAGCTGAGGCTTAGAAGGAGCAGTGATTTGCACAGGGAGGTAGTCAGGACCAGGACAGATAAGCAAATTTCCTGATCCCAGATCAGGACTTTTTGTCTATCAGTATCTATAAGAGCATCATTCTTCAGATAAACTTCTAGAGGGGGTTGTAGAGGACTGCAGTAGGTTCCCTGGTGTCTCCTGACCTTTCTTGGTTGAAACAGGCAACCAGCTTAATATGAAGAACCCAAGCTCAGTTCCTCTTTGTCTCCTTCCTGTAGGCCACTCTCTCTCATTCCACTACAGCCTAAGTGAACCCAGCATGGGGTCTCCCAACCAACCCACCTCCACCACAGTGCTGAGGTCCCAGATCCCTGAATTGCATGGGTGCACCCAGCGCTCAGAGAGAAGCGTTTCGAGACGCCTACCTGACACGTCTGGACACCAATGGAGAGGTGAGGCTTGCTGAGTGGGGCTGACAGCTCTGGGTGGGACTGTGAGTCAGAAGGCAGGCCCCACCCAGGTGATCATGTCTGTGCATGGGGACCTGGCATGGTAGAGAGAGCAGAGGAAAGACAGGGGAGCCAGGATGGGATAAGAGGAGTAGGCCTAGAAATTATCTTTCAGGGACTTTCCAGGGCTGAGATTGCACCCCTCCCCATTTGACAGATGAGGAAGCTGAGACCCATGTGGGTCAGGAAGTGAGTCTTGCCCCAGGAGAGCTCAGCTCATAATATTGATGGACTTTGAAGATCCTTAGGGTCAGGGCGGTCCAGAAGTTCCAAGGAGGACTCTGCTTTCCAGACAGACCCCAAGATGAGGCTAGGCTTAGTCCTCAGCCCAAGCTAGCTCCCTCACATGACTTCTCTATTCACTACTAAAAGAATAAAATTGTGTCTCTACTTTGCACTGGTTTTTAAAATAATATTATTAAGACCCATCTCTCAGCCCCAGGTTCCCTGGGCTGGCTTTAGGGGTTCACAGCCCCACCCATAGTGGGCCCGGAGCTTTGGAGATCAGCAGGGGCTGGATCTGGTTGGCCCCTGAAGGAAAAAGAGGACCTCGAAGAGACAGCTTGTGAGAGCTTAAAATATATGCAACTAAAAGAAAATAGATGTTCAGTAAATTGTCATTTTTTCCTTTCACTTCCCCCTAGAAATCACTTCCTCACTCCTTTACCAAGCTCCTTTAAGCTCTCCAGACTATGGGTCTCCAAGCTATGAGTCACCCAGTGCCCCCATATCTACAGCAGAGCTGGGGAGCTGGATATCCCCACTTCAGCCCAGCCCAGTGCCCAGAGAGCAGGAGGCTCCTGGTACCCAGTGGCCTCTGGATGAAACGTTGGGAAATTACTACACAGGTGAGACCCTACTGAGCTCCTGGTGGGGTGGTGGGTGGGAGAGGCAAATGCAGGGACAAAGAATCCCCTGGGGACCAGGTTGGCAGGCTGAGTAGAGGTTCTGGAAAACATCTGAAATTTCTCTCAGGAAATCCCACCCTTGGAGCCTCTCCACTGGTCCAAGGCACTGCTACCAGGAAGCTCCTGGGCATTAAAATACAGATGTGTTACCCAGCACATCTGGGGGACAACAGAGCAAGGATGGCGGAGCCAAGATAGAGTTACACATCACCTGGTTTACTGGACAGGGCACTGGCCTGAGGTCAGGAAAACTGCGTTCAGTTTCGACTGAGCTCCTTACCCCACAAGTGGCCTACAGTGAGTCCCATGCCCACAAGTGCTCACTGGACACTCTGTGAGTCAGACCATGTCCAGGGCTTCACCTGTACGTTGAACTTAAATTTTACAACCACTCCATGAGATAAATATTGCTATCATCACAACTTGGAGATGAGAAAACCAAGGATCAAAAAGATATTCTCACAGTCAGCACTAGCGAAGATGGGATTCAGCCTTCACTCTCTCACACAGCAGTCCACACCTTTAACTTACACAGGGAGCGCTCTCATCTGGACAATGAAGACAGTCATGCTAAAGCCACAGGTTCAGAGACCCCTGATGCCACAGGCTCCTTAACCACTAAACTACACTGCCTCTCAATGCCAAAGGATGCCTCCTTTGAAATCTGAGAGATGTTAAGTTAAAAGGATTTCTTCTGCCCCCTACCTAGGAGTAAACTTGTAGATTTCATGGTCCTAAAATATGTCCTAGGCTCAAAGTGTATCAGTTTACTTAATTATTCACACCTCTTGCCATTCAAAAAAAAAAAAAAAAAAGCCAGCAGCCATGTAATAAACCCGCACATATACCACCAGAGTCTACAATAAAAAGTAAACAAACTCATATTTTTAAAACTTTGATAGGGCATATAAGGAAAGATCAACATTCAGGTTAAACTAAGGAAAACAGAAGTCAAGAAAGGAAGATTCTAATACTTTAAGTTCTTTCTTTTTATATCTGAGAATCACAAAGATAACTTTTTCTCAGAATTATTTTGTGAACTATAAAACCCAAACAATAAAGACAATTAAAACTGAAAAACAGAAAGGAAGAATATAAAGACAGATCAGAGCCATCTGTAGAAGCATAGTAATGCAATAACCCTAAAAGAGAAAAAAACAAGTGTGAAAACCATGAAGACTTACACATTGCTATAAATAATGGTTCCATTGGTTTTGGGGAATCTAGCAACATCGTAGGTTACACAATACCCACTGGAAATATAGTGGGTTACACAATACCTGTTACTCAATAGAAAAGACCAATGCAAGAGAAGTACATTTTTCTAAATTCTAAGGGAATTCTTCAAATAAGGAACTTTAAAAAAAAAAAAAAACCTTTTAGTTTCAGAAGCACATGTGCAGGTTTGTTCTCTAGGTAAATTACGTGTCACAAGTGTTTGGTGTACAGATTATCTCGTTGCCCAGGTAATAAGCCTAGGTAGTTTTTTAATCCTTACTGTCCTCCCACTCTTTACCCTCAAGAGGCCCCAGTGTCTGTTGTTCCCTTTCTGTGTCCATGTGTACTCAATGTTTAGCTCTCATTTATAAGTGAAAACATGTGGTATTTGGTTTTCTATTCCTGTGTTAGTTTGCTTAGGATAATGGTCTCCAGCTCCATCTGAGTTGCTGCAAAAGGCATGATCTCTTTCTTTTTTATGTCTGTGTAGTACTCCATGTGTAAATATACCACATTTTCTTTAACCAGTCTTTGGTTGATTCCATGCTGTTGCAACTGTGACTAGTGCTGGAATGAACATACATGTGCATGCATCTTTATGATAGACTGATTTACATTCCTTTGGGTATATACCCAATAATGGGATTGCTGGATTGAATGGTAGTTCAAAGTTTTTTGGGAAATCGCCAAATTGCTTTCCACAGTGGCTGAACTAATTTACATTCTTACTAGCAGTGTATAAGCATTCTTGTTTCTCTGCAATCTCACCAACATCTGTTATTTTTTGACTTTTTAATTGTAGCCTTTCTAACTGGTATGGGATAGTATCTCACTGTGGGTTTGATTTACATTTTTCTAATAATAAGTGATGTTGAGCATTTTTTCATACGCTGTCTGCCATTTGTATGTCTTCTTTTGAAGTGTCTATTGGTGTCTTTTGTCCACTTTTTTTTTTGAGACAGAGTCTCACACTGCCATCCAAGTTGGAGTGCAATGGTGCAATCTCAGCTCAGTGCAACCTCCGCCTCCTGGGATCAAGCAATTCTCCTGCCTCAGCCTCCTGAGTAAGCTGGGATTACAGGCGTGTACCACCACATCTGGCTAATTTTTGTAGAGATGGCCCATTAGCTAGGCTGGTCGCAAATTCTTGACCTCAAGTGATCTTACCATCTCAGCTTCCCAAAGTGCTAGGGTTACAGGCATGGGCCACCTCGCCCAGCCATTTGTCCACTTTTTAATGGGATTGTTTTTGTCTTGTTAATATGTTTAAGTTCCTTATAGATTCTGGATATTCAAACATTTTCAGATGGATAGGTTGCAAATATTTTCTCCCATTTTGTGGGTTGTCTGTTTACTTTATGGGTAGTTTCTTTTGCTGTGCAGAAGTTCTTTAATTAGGTCCCAGTTGTCCATTTTTTATTTCATTGCAATTGCTTTTGGCATCTTCCTCATGAAATTTTTGCCAGAACCTATGTTCAGAATGGTATTTCCTAGATTTTCTTCAAGATTTTTTAAAGTTCTGGGTTTTACATTTAAGTCTTTCATCCATCTTCCATTGATCTATGTATATGGTATAAGGAAGGGGTCCAGTTTCAGTCTTCTGCCTATGGCTAGCCAGTTATGTCAGCATCCAGTAGGGAATCCTTTCCCCGTGGCTTGTTTTTGTTAATATTATCAAAGATCAGATGGTTATAGGTATGCAGCTTTATTTCTGGGCATTTTATTCTGTTCTGTTGGTCTGTGTCTGTTTTCGTACCAGTAGCATGCTGTTTTGGTTACTTTAGCCTTGTAGTATAGTTTAAAGTTGGGTAATATGATGGCTCCAGATTTGTTATTTTTTTGCTTAGAATTGCTTTGGTTATTTGGGCTCTTTTTTGGTTTCATATTAATTTTAGAATATTTTTTCTAATTATCTGAAGAATGTCATTGGTCGTTTGATAGGAATAGCACTGAATCTGTAAATTGCTTGGAATAGTATGGCCATTTTGACAATATCAGTTCTTCCTATTCATGAACATGGAATGTGTTCCATTTGTGTGTGTCATCTCTGATTTCTCTCAGCAGTGTTTTGTAGTTCTTACTATAGAGATCTTTCACATTCCTGGTTAGATGTATTCCTAGGTATTTGTGTGGGGGGCAGCTATTGTGAGTGGTTTGGTGCTGAGCATTCCTGATTTGGTGCTCAGCTTGGATGTTGTTGGTGTTTGGAAATGCACCAACATTGCACAACATCACATATTACTTTTTACCCAATATAGTAACTTGATTTTTTTATCCTGAAACTTTGCTGAAGTTGTTTATCAGATCTAGCAGATTTGGGGATGACCCTGGGGGATTTTCTAGGTATTAAACCGTATAATCTGCAAACAGAGATACTTTGACTTCCTCTCTTCCTATTTGGATGTCTTTTACTTCTTTCTCTTACCTAATTGCTCTGGTTAGGACTTCCAGTACTATGTTGAACAAATGGTGAGAATGAGCATCCTTGTCTTGTTCTGGTTCAAGGGAAATACTTCCATGTTTTGCCCATTAAGTATGATGTTGGCTGTGGTTTTGTCCTAAATGGCTCTTATTATTTGAGATATGCTTCAATGTCTAGTTTGTTGAGGGTTTTAACATAAAAGGATGTTGAATTTTACCAAATGCCTTGAGATGATCCTGTGGGGGCTTTTTTACTTCTGTTTATGTGATGGATCATATTTATTGATTTGCACATGTTGAATCAAACATGCATTCCAGTGATAAAACCTACTTGGTTTTGGTGAATGCACTTTTTGATGTGCTGCTGGATTCAATTTGCTAGTATTTTGTTGAGGATTTTTGCACCTATGTTCATCACAGTTGTTGTCCTTAAGTTTTCTTTTTTTGTTGTATCTCTGCCAGGTTTTGGTATCAGAATGATACCTAACTCATAGAATGAGTCCCTCCTCCTCAATTTTTTTGAATAGTTTCAGTAGAAATGGTGCCAGCTCTTCTTAATATGTCTGGTAGAATTCAGCTGTGAATCTATCTGGTCCTGGCCTTTTTCTGGTTGCTAGAATTCTTATTACTGATTCCATTTTAGAATTTGTTATTGCTCTGTTAGGGTTTTAATTTCTTCCTGGTTCAGTCTTAGGAATTTATCTATTTCTTGTAGGTTTTTCTAGTTTGTGTGAATAGAGATGTTCACAATCGTCTCTGAGGATTTTTCGTATTTCTATGGGGTCAGTGGTAATGTCCTCTTTGTCATTTCTTGTTGTGTTTATTTGGATCTTCTGTCTTTTTTTTTATTTTTCTTTATGAGTCTGGTTAGTGGTCTCTCAATTGATTTATTCTTCCACAAAACAAACTTTTGATTTTGTTGATCTTTTATGTGTTTTATTTTCATCTCAATTTCATTCAATTCATCTCATTTTGGTTATTTCTTGTCTTCTGCTAGCTTTGGGATTGATTTGCTCTTGTTTTTCTAAATCTATTTGTGATGTTAAGTTGCTAATTTGAGATTTCTCTAACTTTCTGATATGGGCATTTACTGCTATAAACTTACCTCTTAACACTGCTTTACCTGTATCTCAGAGATTTGGTATATTATATCTTTGTTCTCATTGTTTCAAATAATGTTTTGATTTCTGCCTCAGTTTCATTGTTTACCCAAAAGTCACTCAGGAACAGGTTAATTTTCATGAATTGTATGGTTTTGAACTATCTTCTTAGTATTTATTTTTTTATTATGCAGTAGTCCAAGAGTGTGGCTGATATCATTTGTTCTTGTTTTGTTTTAAATTTGCTGAGAACTCTTTTTTTTGTACTTTAGGTTCTGGGGCACATGTGCAGATCATGCAGCATTGTTGCATAGGTACATACATGCCAAGGTGGTTTGCTGTCTCCATACCCCTGTCATTTACATCTGGCATTTCTCCCCATGTTATCCCTCCCAAACCTCCCCACCCCCGTTGTTCCTCCCCTACCCCACCGACAGATCCCAGTGTGTGATGCTCCCCTCCCTGGGCCCATGTGTTCTCATTGTTCATCACCCACCTATGAATGAGAACATACAGTGTTTGGTTTTCTGTTCTTTTGTCAGTTTGCTGAGGATGATGGCTTTCAGGTTCATCCATGTCCCTACAAAGAACATGAATTCATCCTTTTTTATGGCTGCATAGTATTCCATGGTGTATATGTGCCACGTTTTTTTTTTGTTTTTTTTTTGTCCAGTCTATCATTGATGGGCATTTGGGTTGCTTCCAGGTCTTTGCTATTGTAAACAGTGCTGCAATGAACATACGTATGCATGTGTCTTTATAATATAATGATTTATAATCCTTTGGGCATATACCTAATAATGGGATAGCTGGGTCAAATTGAATTTCTATTTCTAGATCCTTGAGGAATTGCCACACTGTCTTCCACAATGGTTGAACTAATTTACACTCCCACCAACAGTGAAAGAGTGTTCCTATTTCTTCACATCCACTCCAGCATCTGTCGTCTCCTGATTTTTCACTGATCACTATTCTAACTGGTGTGAGATGGTATCTCAATGTGGCTTTGATTTGCATTTCTCTAATGACCAGTGATGATGAGCATTTTTTCATATGTTTGTTGGCCTCATAAATGTCTTCTTTTGAGAAGTGTCTGTTCATATCTTTCACCCACTTTTGAATGGGTTTGTTTGTTTTTTCTTGTAAATCTGCTTTAGTTCTTTGCAGATTCCGGATATTAGCCCTTTGTCAGATGGGCAGATTGCAAAAATTTTTTCCTATTCTCTTGGTTGCCAGTTCACTCTAATGATTGTTTCTTTTGCTGTGCAGAAACTCTTAAGTTTAATTAGATCCCATTTGTCTATTTTGGCTTTTGTTGCCATTGTTCTTGGTGTTTTGTCATGAAGTCCTTGTCTATGCCTATGTCCTGAATGGTTTTACCTAGGTTTTTTTCTAGCATTTTTATGGTGTTGGGTTTTATGTTTAAATCATTAATCCATCTGGAGTTAATTTTAGTGTAAGGTATAAGGAAGGGGTCCAGTTTTAGCTTTCTGCACATAGCTAGCCAGTTTTCCCAACACCATTTATTAAACAGGGAATCTTTCCCCGTTGCTTGTTTTTGTCAGGTTTTTCAAAGATCAGATGGTTGTAGATGTGTGGCGTTACTTCCAACGCCTCTGTTCTGTTCCATTGGTCTATATCTCTGTTTTGATACCAGTACCATGCTGTTCTGATTATAGTAGCCTTGTAGTATAGTGTGAAGTCAGGTAGTGTGATGCCTCCAGTTTTGTCTTTTGGCTTAAGACTGTCTTGGCTATGCAGGCTCTCTTTTGGTTCAATATGAAGTTTATAGTGGTTTTTTTCAGTTCTTTGAAGAAGGTCAGTGGTAGCTTGATGGGGATAGTGTTGAATCTATAAATTACTTTGGGCAGTATGGCCATTTTCATGATATTGATTCTTCCTAACCATGAGCATGGAATGTTTTTCCATCTGTTTGTGTCCTCTCTTATTTCCTTGAGCAATGGTTTGTAGTTCTCCTTGAAGAGGTCCTTCACATCCTTTGTTAGTTGTAGTCCTAGGTACTTTATTCTCTTTGTAGCAATTGTGAATGGGAGTTCACTCTTGATTTGGCTCTCTGTCTGTTATTGGAGTATAGGAATGCTTGTGATTTCTGCACATTGATTTTGTATCCTGAGACTTTGCTGAAGTTGCTGATCAGCTTAAGGAGATTTTCGATTGAGATGATGACAGTTTGACTTCCTCTTTTCCTAACTGAATACTCTTTATTCCTTTTTCTTGCCTGATTGCTCTGGCTAGAACTTCCAATACAATATTGAATAGGAATGGTGAGAGAGGGCATCCTTGTCTAGTGCCATTTTTCAAAGGGAATGCTTCCAGTTTTTGCCTCTTCAGTATGATATTGACTGTGGGTTTGTTGTAAATAGCTTTTGTTATTTTTAGATACATTTCATTGATATCTAGTTTATTGAGAGTTTTTAGCATGAAGGGCTGTTGAATTTTGTCAAAGGCCTTCTCTGCATCTATGGAGATGATCATGTGGTTCTTGTCTTTTGTTCTGTTTATGTGAGGTGGATTACATTTATAGATTTGCGCCTGTTGAACCAGCCTTGCATCCCCAGAATGAAGCCAACTTGATCGTGGTATATAAGCTTTTTGATGTGCTGTTGCATTCAGTTTGCTAGTATTTTATTGAAGATTTTTGTATCAACGTTCATCATGGATATTGGCCTGAAGTGTTCTTTTTTAGTTGAGTCTCTGCTAGGTTTTGGTATCAGGATGATGTTGGTCTCATAAAATGATTTGGGAAGGATTCTCTCTTTTTGGATTATTTGGAATAGTTTCAGAAGGAGTGGTACCAGCTCCTCTTTGTGTGTCTGGTAGAATTCAGCTGTGAACCCATCTGGACCCAGGCTTTTTTTGTGTGGTAGGCTCAATTGCTGCCACCCAGCAGTATCACCTCTCTCCCTGTGCAGATAACTCGCAGGGCTTTTCAGTCCAGCACAGGTCTCCTGGTCTGTGGGTTGCAAGGGCCATGGGAGAAGCACAGTATCTGAACCAGAGGGCTGTAGGGGAGAAAGACCCCAATCCTCCAGTTAGATGCATTTCCCAGGTGGGACAGCACCCCACCCTGCCTCAGTTTGCCTTGCTTGGGTTATATCCACTCTCCAACCAGTCCCATTGAAATGAACCTGGTACCTTGTTTGGAAATGTGGAGATCACTCACCTTCTGCAACTCTGTTGCTGGGAACTGTGCTCCACAGCTGCTTCTATTGGCCGTCTTGGTGGAATCCTTTCCTGAGAACTTTTTATGGTAGATTGTGTGGTTGATTTTGCAGTATATATCATGTGCAAATGAGAAGAATATATATTCTGTTGTTTAGGACGGAGAGTTCTATAGATTGTCTGTTAGGCCCATTTGGTCAAGTGTTAAATTTAGGTCCCAAATATCTTTGCTAGTATTCTGCCTCGATGATTTGTTCAATTCTGTTGATGAGTGTTGAAGTCTCCCATTATTACTGTCTAGTTATCTAAGTCTCTTCAGTCTCTAAGAACTTTTTTCAAAGACTATTAAGGTGGTACCTCTATGACTCTGAAAGAACTACACCTACTGGGCTTAGGGTGCCCTCTAAAACAGATCACAAAACTCAAGTCCTTTCAGACCTGGAAAGCCCTCCCAAAAAGGCTGGCTATAAATAAGCCCGGACAGTGAAGACTACAATAAATACTCAGCTCTTCAATGCCCAGACACTGAAGAACATCTACTAGCATTAATACCATCCAGAAAAACATGACTTCACCAAATGAACTAACTAAGGTACCAGGGACCAATCCTGGAGAAAGAGAGATATGTGACCTTTCAGACAGAATTCAAAATAGCTGTGTTGAGGAAACAAAGAAATTCAAATGGCACAGAGAAAAAATTCAGAATTCTAGCAGATTAATAAACAGATTGAAATGATTAAAAAGAATCAAACAGAAATTCTGAATCTGAAAAAATTCAATTGGAATACTGAAAAATGCATCAGAGTTCTTTAATAGCAGAATAGATCAAGCCGAATAAAGAATTAGTGAGCCTGAAGACAGACTATTTGAAAATACACAGAAGAGACAAAAGGAAAAAGAATAAAAAACAATGAAACACACCTGCAGGATCTAGAGAACAGCCTCAAGATGACAAATCTAAGAGTTATTGGCCTTAAAGAGGAGGTAGTGAAAGAGCTAGGAGTAGAAAGTTTATTCAAAGAGATAACAGAGAACTTCACAAACCTAAAGAAAGATATCCAAGTACAAGAAGGTTACAGAACACCAAGTACATTTAACTTAAAGAAGACTACTTCAAGGCATTTAATAATCAAACTCCCAAAGGTCAAGGATAAAGAAAGGTTCTTAAAAGTAGCAAGAGAAAAAAACAAATAACATACCACGGAGTTCCAGTACGTCTGGCAGTAGACTTTTCAATGACAACCTTATAGGCCAGAAGAGAGTGGCATGACATTTAAAATGCTGAAGGAAAGAAAACTTTTACCCTAAATAGTATAACTCATGAAAATATCCTTCAGCGGCAGCAGGAACAGAGGCAGAAGGGGTCCTGCAGCGACAGCGTTGTCAGCGGGGGTGGCCAAGGGAGCTGAGCACTGAGGGGACTCGCCCACTCGGAAGCTGGATCCGGAGCCAGGCAGGATGGATCACCACCAGCCGGGGACTGGGCGCTACCGGGTGCTTCTTAATGAAGAGGATAACTTAGAATCATTGGCCATAGAGCAGCCATCTACTTCAAACCCAGCAACACAGATTGTGCAGGCTGCCTCTTCAGCACCAGCACTTGAAACTGACTCTTCACCTCCACCGTATAGTAGTATTACTGTGGAAGTACCTACAACTTCAGATACAGAAGTTTATGGTGAGTCTTATCCTGTGCCATCTCTCTATAGTGTTGCTGCCTCTCTTCCTACATACGATGAAGCTGAGAAGGCTAAAGCTGCTGCAGTGGCAGATGCAGCAGAAACATCTCAAAGAATTCAGGAGAAAGAGTGTCCACCAAGAGATGACTTCAGTGATGCAGACCAGCTCAGAGTGGGGAATAATGGCATTTTCATGCTGGCATTTTTCATGGCATTTATTTTCAACTGGCTTGGATTTTGTTTATTTTTCTGTATCACCAATACCATAGCTGGACAGTATGGTGCTATCTGCGGATTTGGCCTTTCCTTGATCAAATGGATCCTTATTGTCAGGTTTTCTGATTATTTTACTGGATATTTCAATGGACAGTATTGGCTTTGGTGGATATTTCTTGTACTTGGCCTGCTCCTTTTCTTCAGAGGATTCGTTAATTATCTAAAAGTCAGAAACATGTCTGAAAGTATGGCAGCTGCTCATAGAACAACGTATTTCTTCTTCTTATAGAGACTGCATCAACCCAACATTCCTTTCTTATACCAATGTGAAATTTCCAGATCATCAGTAAACCTACAACTTTAATAGGATAGAAGACTACTAATAGCAGAAGACAAATTAGTGAAGAAAAGACAGAGCTTTGAAATTAAATGGCAGGGTGGTTTATGTTTACAGGCCACTTCTGTTCATTCTTTAAGTATCTATATTTCATTTGTTTTGCACATATGCATATGTGCCCACTTAAGGGATTTGCATATACTTTAAAGAAATCATAAAGTTGTAGCACTTGAGTCCAGTCATATTTGGTTAATCAGTGTTTGATATAATTGAAAGTTGTAGCACTTGAGTCCAGTCATATTTGGTTAATCAGTGTTTGATATAATTGAAAGAGGTGAGTGATAAACAGTCTTCCAGCATGTAAATGCCATTGACTTTTGACTCGACATTTAGTATAATAAAAATGAGATTATTAACCATGAAAAAAAAGAAAGAACAGAAAATATCCTTCAAACATGAAGGAAAAATAAAGATTTTCCCAAACAAAAGCTAAAGGATTTCATCAATACCAGACCCATCCTACAAGAAATGCTAAAAAGAGTACTTCAATTAGAAAGAGAAGAATATTAGTGAGCAATCATCACCTGGAGCTACAAAACTCACTCAGAACAACACAGAAAAACACAGAATATTTTAACACTGTAACTATGGTGTATAACCTCTCTTATCCTAAGTAGGCAGACTAAATGATGAACCAATCAAAAGTAACAGCTACAACAACTTTTCAAGACACAGTACAATAAGATATAAATAGAAACAACAAAAAGTTTAAAAAGCAGGGAGATGATGTTCAGGTGAGTTTTTATTAGTTTTCTTTCTACTTATTTCTTTGTTTATGCAAATAATATTATCAGGTTAAAATAATGAGTTATAAGATGGTATTTGCAAGCCTCATGGTAACCTCAAACCAAAAAACATAAAATGAATACACAAAAAATAAAAATCAAGAAACTAAATTGTATCACCAGAAAAAATTATCTTCACTAGAGGAAGACAGGAATAAAAGAAAGAAAGAAGAGAAGACCACAAAACAATCAGAAAACAAAAAAATTAAAATGACAGAAGTAAGTCCTTACTTATCAATAATAACATTAAATGTAAATGGACTAAGCTATCTAATCAAAAGACATAGACTGGCTGAATGAAGAAACAAGAACCATTGATCTGTTCCCTACAAGAAACACATTTCACCTTTAAAGACACACATAAACAGAAAATAAAGTGATGGAAAAAGATATTCCATGCCAATGGAAACCAAAAAAGAGCAAAAGTTACTATATTTGTATCAGACAAAATACATTTCAAAACAAAAACTATAAGAAAAGACAAGGAAATCACTATATAATGACAATAGGGTCAATTCAGCAAAAGGATATAACACTTTTAAATATAGATGCATCTAACACATGATCAGTCACCCAGATGTGTAAAGAAAATATTACTAGAGCTAAAGAGAGAGATAGGCCTCAATACAATAATAGCTGGAGACTTTAACACCCCACTTTTAGCATTGGACAGATCTTCCAGACAGAAAATCAGCAAAGAAACATCAAACTCAATCTGCATTATAGACCAAATGGATCTAATATATATTTACAGAACATTCCAAGAACTGCAGAATACCCATTCTATTCCTCAGCACATGGATAATTCTCAAGGATACACCATATATTAGCTCACAAAACAAGTCTTAAAACATTCAAAAAATTGAAATAATTTCAAGCATCTTCTCTGACCACAATGCAATAAGATTAGAAATTAGTAATAAAAGGAATTTAGAAAACTAAACAAATAGAAGAAAATTAAACAATGTGCTCCTGGGTCAGTGAAGAAATTAAGAATAAAATAAAGAAAAATTTCTTGAAACAAATGATCATGGAAACACAATACACCAAAACCTATGGGATATATTAAGAGAGAAGTTTATAGCTATAAATGCCTACATCAAAAAAGAGGGAAAACTTCAAATAAACAATGTAATGATGCATCTTAAAGAACCAGAAAAGCAAGAACAAACCAAACCTACTATTAGTAGATGAAAAGAAATAATAAAGATCAGAGCTAAAATAAATGAAATTGAAAAAATACAAAAGATCAATGAAACAAGTTGAGTTTTTGAAAAGTTAAAATCAACAAACCTTTAGCCAGGCCAAGAAAAAAAGAGAGAAAAGCTAAATAAATAACATCGGAAATGAAAAAGGAGACATTACAACTGATACTGCAGAAAATCAAAGGATCATTAGTGGCTGCTATGAGCAATTATATGCTAATAAATTGGAAAATCTAGAAGAAACGGACAAATTTCTAGATATATGCAACCTACCAAGACTGAACCAGGAAGAAATCCAAAACCTAAACAGACCAATAACAAGTAAGAAGGTAGAAGCCATAATAAAAAGTCCTCCAATAAAGAAAAGCCAAGGACCAGATGGCTTCACTGCTGAATTCTACCCAACATTTAAGAAGAACTAATACCATGGCCAGGCACAGTGGCTCACACCTGTGATCCCAGCACTTTGGGAAGCCAAGGCGGGCAGATCACGAGGTCAAGAGATTGAGACCATCCTGGCCAACACGGTGAAACCCTGCCTCTACTAAAAATACAAAAATTAGCTGGGTGTGGTGGCGCGTGCCTGAAGTTCCAGCTACTCGGGAGGCTGAGGCAGGAGAATTGCTTGAACCCAGGAGGCGGAGGTTGCAGTGAGCCAAGATCAAGCCACTGCACTCCAGCCTGGCATTGGAGTGAGACTCTGTCTCAAAAAAAAAAAAAAAAAAAAAAAGAACTAATACCATTTCTACTGAAACTATTCCAAAAAATAGAGGAGGAAGGAATATTACCAGACCCATTCTCTGAGGCCAATATTACTGCGATACCAAAACCAGACAAAAACACATCAAAAATTTGACTAAAAACTTAAATCTAAGACCTCAAACTACGAAACTGCTACAAAAAACCATCAAGGAAAATCTCCCAGACATTGGTCTGCAAAGATTTCTTGAGCAATACCCTACAAGCATAGGCAACCAAAGCAAACATAGACAAACAGGATCACATCAAGTTAAAAAGCTTCTGCGCAGCAAGGGCAGCAATAGGAGGCTGCACCCCTCAGCTGGATTTAGACAGAAGGAGGACCGGCTGGGCTGGAAGCTCTAGCAGACATGGCCTGTCTGGCTAGGTGAGGTGGTGGTGGGTGGAGTCACCCACCCTGCCTTCAGAGTGTTTCCCGGGGCACCAGGAGTTTGCCTCTGCTGGCTGAGTTTAGACAGAAGCAGGACTGCTAGCAGACGTTGCCTGCCTGGCGACCAGTGGCAGGGGTGAGCAGAGTCACCCCCACTGCTGTCCAAGTGGGGAACCTGAACAAAATAACCTGAAGAACAGTTTCATGGCAAGTATAAAAACTACATGGTATGCTTTTTAATCTATTAAGAGAAAAGGTAAGAAAATTTGGGCAACAGACAAGATAGTAGGTCAGGCATGATGGCTCATGCCTATAATCCCAGCATTTTAGGAGGGCGAGGCGGGCAGATCACTTGAGGTCAGGAGTTTGAGACCAGCCTGGCTAACATGGCAAAACCCTAGCTCTACTAAAAATATGAAAATTAGCCGCATGTGGTGGCATATGTCTGTAATCCCAGCTACTCAGGAGGCTGAGACAAAAGAATTGCTTGAACGTGGGAGATGGAGGTTGCAGTGAGTCAAGATCATGCCACTCACTCCAGCCTGGGCTACAAAGTGAGACTCCATCAAAAAATAAAAAATAAAAAAAAGACAAGATAGTAAATGTTTTAGTGTTTGTAGGCCATAGGGTCTCTGTTGTAAGTACTCAGGTCTGCCCTCATAGCCTGAAGGCAGCCATGGACATAAACAAGTGGGCATGGCTGTATTCCAATAAAACTATACTCAGGAACAATAAATTTTATATATATTATTTTCACATGCATAAAATATTATTTTTCTTTTGATTTTTTTCCCAACCATTTAAAAATGTAACAATCATTCTTAACTCACAGGCTGTACAAAAACAGGTGGCTGGCTTGGGTTGGCAAACCAGCTAAATCCAGCCAGCCACCTGTTTTTGTGGATTTGACAAGAGTTTGCCAACACTTTGGCCAGGAGCATAACATTAAAATGAAACTTGTTAGAGGTACCAAGGGTAAGGGTACAATTTTTAGTCTGGCTTTTCAAGAGGATTTAGCTACACAGCATGGTAACAGAGCCATGAAAACCAGGAGGTTCTGGAGAAGGTGGCATCTAGAAGAGCAAAGCCCTCCTGTGGCACCTCAGACAGGCACATTCTCAGTGGGGAGGGCCATGGCCGTGACCCTGGGTGGTCATCCTGAGGTTTGTAGGTTTTCACATTGCTGGAAATGATCCCACAGGAGACAGGAAAAGCAGGTCTATAGATAATTACTTCAGAGGTGGGGTAGCTTTCTGAACACCACACCCTCACCAGTCTCACCAGTGCTAACAGTGTGAATTGGCCCCACTCTCCCCAGATTTCCTCGGCACACCTGCAGATGCAAGCCAGGTAACCTTGAACTTTGGAGCCCCAGCAGGTTTCTAGAATGGCCAGGGCTTCATCCCTGGATGCAGGATGAGTCACCTGCATCCTCTCTAAAATTCACCTAAGAGACCAGGCACAGTGGCTTACGCCTGTAATCCCAGCGCTTTGGGAAGCCAAGATGAGTGGATCACTTGATGTCAGGAGTTTGAGACCAACATGGCCAACATGGTGAAACGAAAATACAAAAATTAGGCAGGCATGATGGCAGTTGCCTGTAATCCCAGCTACTCAGGAGGCTGATGCAAGAGAATCGCTTAAACCTGGGAGACAGAGGTTGCAGTGAGCTGAGATCATGCCACTGCACTCCAGCCTGGGTGACAAGAGTAAAACTCCGTCTCAAAAAAATAAATAAAATAAAATTCACCTAAGGAGAAAAGGAAGAGGCACTCAAAATATTGTGAAAAACAGAAGTTGTGACTGCTGTTCTATTTGGAGTCTAACTAAGACAGGAGCCTGAGGTCCCTCCCTGGGAAACAATCACATACGTGAGCTCAGCTCCTCACAGGTCAGGAGGCATCTTCCATCTGTCTCAGGTTGGGCTCACCCAGAAGCCTGAAACCAGATTTGCTTGCAGGTGGTTTATTGGGGTGGTGGTTGCTTAAAAACATCAAGAAGAGAAGTAAGGCAGGGAAGCCCAAGAAAGGTAGATTATGGAGCAGGTTACCTTGCAAGCAACTGAAATTCCATGCTGCTGCGGATGTCTGGGAGACAGTGAGAACAAGCCTGAGTGTTATCTGCCCTGGGGGCAAGGGACCCCCATCTGTTGTCCACTAAGGGCATCTCCTGGACTACAGTACTATCCCCCAGTATTTCTGGCCCTCCTGGCTGACAGGCGGAAAACAAGCCCTCAGACAGATGACCAAAGCTGCTGCCAAGGGACACTGTTGGCAGGTACTGCAACAGCGGGTGCTCAGGGGATGCTGTCAGCATCTGCTACACACTCCACTATCTCCTCCACTCCTTCGTGACCTCCTACAACCCCCAGCTTATGGATGAGAAAACTGAGGCTCATAGGAGCTAATGGCCAGCATCATGAGCTTAGTGAGGACAGAGTTATGTCTGTTTTGTTCACTCTTTATCCCCAACCCCTACAGCAGCACCTGGCACATAGTAAGCACTTAATAAATATTCAGTGATGAAAATTCATTCAGGGAGTATGACTTGGTTGAGTCAAGACTTGAACGGGGATCTTCTACCCCAAAGCACGTGTTCTTTCTACCACATGGCGAGAACATACCAGTGTCTGCAGCCAGTGCATTGTGTGGCTTGGAGTAGGTGCCTAAAATAGTTTTTAATTAATTATTCTATTCTCTACCTTTATGTTCCTTCTTTCCCTCCCTTAGGAATCAGAGAAAGAGACCAGAGCCTGTGGAGGGAGAGTCCCTGTTCCACATGGTCCTGGAAAAATGAGGATTTGAACCAAAAATTTACACAGCTGCTACTTCTACAAAGGCCTCACCCCAGAAGCCATGAGTGCCTGGTCGGGGGAAGATTGCTTCATAATGTGGAGGAGAATCAAGGACATTTAATTGAGATCGGAGATTTATTTGGCCCAGGCCTGGATACCCAGGAACCTCATATAGTCATACTGCAGGGGGCTGCTGGAATTGGGAAGTCAACACTGGCCAGGCGGGTGAGGGAGGCCTGGGGGAGAGGCCAGCTGTATAGGGATTGCTTCCAACATGTCTTCTACTTCAGCTGCAGAGAGCTGGCCCAGTCCAAGGTGCTGAGTCTTGCTGAGCTCATTGAAAAAGACTGGACAGCCACTCAGGCTCCCATTAGACAGATCCTGTCTAGGCCAGAGCGGCTGCTCTTCATCCTCGATGGTGTGGATGAGCCAAAATGGGTCTTGGAGGAGCAGAGTTCCGAGCTCTGTCTGCATTGGAGCCAGCCGCAGCCAGCAGATGCACTGCTGGGGAGTTTGCTGGGGAAAACCATACTTCCCAAGGCATCCTTCCTGATTACTGCTCGGACCACAGCTCTGCAGCATCTCATTCCTTCTTTGGAGCAGGCACGTTGGGTAGAGGTCCTGGGGTTCTCTGAGTCCAGCAGGAAGGAATATTTCTACAAATATTTCACAGATGAAATGCAAGCAAGTAGAGCCTTTAGGTTGGTCAAATCGAACAAAGAACTCTGGGCCCTGTGTCTTGTGCCCTGGGTGTCCTGGCTGGCCTGCACTTGCCTGATGCAGCAGATGAAGCAGAAGGAAGAACTCACACTGACCTCCAAGACCACCACGACCCTCTGTCTGCATTACTTTTCCCAGGCTCTCCAAGCTCAGCCATTGGGGTCCCAGCTCCAGGGCTTCTGCTCCCTGGCTGCTGAGGGCACCTGGCAAAGAAAGACCCTCTTCAGTCCAGATGACCTCAAGAAGCATGGGTTAGATGGGGCCATCATCTCCTCCCTCTTGAAGATGGATATTCTTCAAGAGCACCCCATCCCTCTGAGCTACAGCTTCATTCACCTCTGTTTCCAGGAGTTCTTTGCAGCAATGTCCTGTGCCTTGGAGGATAAGAAGGGGAGAGGTGAACATTCTAATCACATCATGGGTTTGGGAAAGTTGCTAGAAGCATATGGAACACATGACCTGTTGAGGGCACCAACCACACGTTTCCTATTGGGCCTGTTAAGTGAACAGGGGGCAAGAGAGATGGAGAACATCTTCGACTGCCGGCTGTCTCGGGAGAGAAAGAAGAGGCTTCTGCAGTGCGCCCAGTTCCTGCAGCCCCCACTGCAGTCACACTCTCTGGAGTTCCTCCACTGTTTATATGAGACTCAGGACAAAAGTTTCCTGACACAAATGATGGCCCATTTCCAAGAAGTGTGCATGTGTGTGGAAACAGACATGGAGCTCCTGGTGTGCACTTTCTGCATTAAATTCTGCCACAACGTGAAGAAGCTTCAACTGATTGAGGGCAGGCAGCATGGACCAGCAAGGAGCCTTGACAGGGTAGTCCTGTGAGTACTCTACCCACCGTGTCTCCAGCTCCTCTGTCAGTCCATAAGCCCAAGTGTCCTGAACACCAGAGGCATGCTCACTGAGCCTGGCTGGGGGACAGGGGTGGCTAAAGAATCAGGGTCACCAGTGACTTCTAACTGCCCAATCTGACCACCACGCTCTGTCCACCTGAGCTCCTCTGTAGTGTCCAACTGTGGGGCAGACCCTGCTTGCTTCTGGAGAGGCCACTGGGCCCCGCCTTATGCTGCCACCTCTCCTCCTACCCTTAGAATGACTGCCCATCTTCTCTCCTGGATCTGTTCCTAGCTTCCAGCTGACCTTAGCTACCCCCACACTCCCCAAGGATCAGGCAGCCCCCCCCACCCCTGCCCCTCTCTCTGGCCATTCATTCTCTCAAAGAAATTGCTCCTCCAGCTGCTTCAGAAACGCTCTCGAAGACAATGACATTGGCCCTGAGATCTTCCCCATCAGCTCTCAAAAAGAGTTTCCTGGCCAGGCACTGTGGCTCATACTTGTAATCCCAGCACTTTCAGAGGCTGAGGCAGGCAGATCATGAGGTCAAGGGATCGAGGCAATCTTGGCCAACATGGTGAAACTCCATCTCTACTAAAAATACAGAAATTATCTGGGTGTGGTTGTGGGCACCTGTAGTCCCACCTACTTAGGAGGCTGCAGGAGAATTGCTTGAACCCAGGAGCTGAGATTGCGCCATTGCACTCCAGCCTGGGTGACAGTGACTCTGTCTCAAAAAAAAAAAAGTTTGCTATTTTCCCCGCAAAACTGACTTCATAATTATTTGTGACTGTGGTGCCACTGTTGCCCCAGGCACTCAGCATGAAACCTGCTCTCTGGTTTCGCAAGAGCAGCTTCCTCTAGGCATTCTCCAGCCCAGCAACACTCATAACTTCCCCATCCGGGTTCCTCCACCTCTGCCGCAGTATAGATCACATGGTATTGGTATGTGTCTGTGTCCTGTTTTAGATGATTCATTCCATATTTATTAAGCACTGATTCTCTGCCAGGCCCTACAGATCACAGATTAAAAAGCACAATCCTGGCTGGGCATGGTGGCCCACACCTATAATCCCAGCACTTTAGGAGGCCAAGGTGGGAGGATCACAAGGTCAAGAGATTGAGACCATCCTGGCCAACATGGAGAAACCCCGTGTCTACTAAAAGTACAAAAATTAGCCAGGCATGGTGGCAGGCACCTGTAATTCCAGCTACTCGGGATGCTGAGACAGGAAATCACTTGAACCTGGGAGGCGGAGGTTTCAGTGAGCCAAGATTATGCCATTGCACTCCAGTCTAGACAAGAGCAATATTCCAACTCAATAAATAAATGAAAAAAATGCAAAAATTAGCTGGGCGTGGTGGCTCATGCCTATAGTTCCAGCAATTCCAGAGGCTGAGGCAGGAGAATATCTTGAAGATTGTAATAAGCTGAACTCTTGCCACTGCCACTCCAGCCTGGCAACAGAGCGAGACTCCATCTTAGAAACAGAAACAAAAACACACCAAAAAAGAGCACAATCCCTGCCCTAAGGCACTCAAAAAAAAATAGGAGAGAAGACAAACATTCATTTAATACTGACAACAGGGTGTGATGCCTACAACAGTAGAGATATGGACAAGGTACTGTGGTGTGGCCCAAGGAAGGGAGTGATCACATGAGTGGACAAAAAAGAAAAGATTCTCAGAGGGAGAAATATTTGATGTGGATCTTTATATTCATATTTTTAAAACTTTTTCTCACAATAAAACTCATGTTCATTAAAACATATATATAAATATATATATATATACATATATATAAATATATATATATATATATATATATATATATTTTTTTTTTTTTTTTAGACAGAATCTTGCTCTGTCACCCAGGATGGAGTGCAGTGGCGTGCTCTCTGCTCACTGCAACCTTTGCCTCTCAAGTTCAAGCAATTCTCGTTCCTCAGCCTCCCAAGTAGCTGGGATTACAGGTGTGCACCACCACACCCAGCTAATTTTTTTTGTTTTTTAAATAGAGATGGGGTTTCACGACATTGGCCAGGCTGGTCTCTATTTCCTGACCTCAAATGATCCACCTGCCTCAACCTTCCAATGTTCTGGGATTACAGGCATAAGCCACCATGCCCAGCCCTTCTTACATTTTTAAGTAGTCTGATACAACACCATTTTGAATGACCACATGCCATTCCACAGGGGAGTGCCATGGCTGATTTGACCATTCTCCTATTCTTGGCCATTGTAAACTGTTTCTAGTTGTTCATAATTATAAATGTGAGATAGGCCTTAAAGGATCTAGATACAGGTATTCCAAGTGGCAGTGGACCAATGGGAGACCTTCAGAAGAGTTTCAAGCAGCCAGAGGCAGAGGCCAGATGGTGGCTGGCCGGGGGTGGGTACTGGGATGGGTAAGGGGAACCAGGAACACCAGACCAGAGAAAACAGTTTGGGATAGGTGGGAGCAAGTAGAGCCTTAAGAGAATGCCATGGGAAAGTCAGAGGCTTCAGTTGCAAGTGGGAGGGGAAATTGTAAAGGAAGTGAGTCAGCTAGGCAAGGCAGAGAGAAGAGTAAGGAGACTACTATAAACAACAAAGTGAAAGTTCAGGAAGAAAGGGTGGAGGTTGGCCAAGGGCTGTGGGAAGGAAGAGGAGAACCAACCTGAGATATTAAGGAAATGAAGATGGCAAGATGAGAGGTTTCAGGTTGTGATTAAGCATTGTGTATTTCAATATAAACTTAATTTTTTTTCCAGTCCTCTTGATTACAGATGGCAAATGCTGACAGAAATAAAAAATTTTAAATGTATTTTTCAAGTTTCACAAAACTAAGCAAATGTAAAAGAAATTCAAATCAACTTTCATTTATGGCTCTTTTTTTTTTTTTTTTTTTTTTTTGGTTTTGTTTATAGGTAAGTCTCGCCCTTGTTGCCCTGGCTGGAGGGCAATGGCATGATCTCAGCTCACTGCAACCTCCGCCTCCTGGGTTCAAGCAATTCTCCTGCCTCAGCATCCCGAGTAGCTAGGATTACAGGCGCCTGCTACCACCGCCAGCTGGCTAATTTTTGTATTTTAGTAGAGATGGGGTTTCACCATGTTGGCCAGGCTGGTCTCGAACCCCTGACCTCAGGTGATCCGCCTGCCTCGGCCTCCCAAAGTGCTGGGATTACAAGCATGAGCTACCACATCCAGCCTCATTTATGGCTTTTTTTCTCCTCTGTGTGTGTGTGTGTGTGTGTGTGTGCGCGTGCGCGCACGTGTGTGTGTGTGCGCGTGCGCGCACGTGCGCGTGTGTGTGTGTGTGTGTGTGTTTGAGATGGAATCTCGCTGTGTCTCCTAGGAATACTGCAGTGGCATGACCATACCTCACTGTGCAACATTGGCCTTCCGGGTTCAAGCCATTCTGCCACCTCAGCCTCCTGAGTAGCTGGGACTACAGGTGCACACCACCACATTGGCTATTTTTTATTTATTTTTTTTGTGTGTGTGAAAACAGGATCTTACTATTTGCCCAGGCTGGTCTCAAACTCCTGAGCTCAATCGATCTTCCTGCCTCTACCTCCTAAAGTACTGGGATTATAGGCATGAGCCACTGCACTCAGCTGGCTTTTTCTATATGTTTGTACTACTTGTACTTCCACAATTATTAAAACTTAAACTGCTCTAGGACTTTTGGGATACTTCGTAGTAGTTGTTAATCCTCACACACCCCTCTGCAGCAGATGCTATTGCTGTCCTGTTTTTACAGGCAAGGAGACGGAGTGAGGCACAGAGATGCAGAGCCCATGTGCAGGCAGCTCCTTGCCCCTGCACAGCGAGAGGCCAGGACCTATACTGAGCACTGAAGATTAAAAAAAAACAAAAGACAAGTATCTGTGTCTGCCCTCAAGGAACTCTCAGACTGTGGGAGAAACAGACACAAAAAATGAACACTTCAGTGTCCTATGGTAAGGGCTGTAGAATGAGGAGTCACATGGAGGAGAGGGATCTAGCTCTGGGTGACAGGAGCAGATAGGGAGGCTGGTCAGTACTGGGGATGGCACTGCCTGCTGTGGTCTGGTGCTCAGGGGGACAGAGCTCAACTGTGTTGTGCAGGGCTGGGTACCTCAAACCCCCTCAACACAACACATCTATCCTGTCCTCCTCTCTCTCCCTCAGGTTCAGGTGGGTCCCAGCCACAGATGCCTATTGGCAGATTCTCTTCTCCGTTCTCAAGGTCACCAGAAGCCTGAAGGAGCTGGACCTAAGTGGAAACTTGCTTAGCCTCTCTGCAGTGCAGAGTCTTTGTGAGACCCTGAAATACCCTCGCTGCCTCCTGGAGACCCTACGGTGAGTCTGGCTTGGGTTCTGTTCTGAAGCAAGGATGGGGAGGAGATCCAAGGCAGAAGCTGAGTCTGGCCTGAGGGATTTGCCCTTGTATTCATCAGATATTCGTTAAGGCCCTCTCTGGCCAGTGTGACTTTGCTAAACAAACACAGACAGGATGTTTTGCTCACACACACACACAAAATTCTCTCATGAAGTGAAGCTTGAGGGAGGTCTGAAGAATACAGAGGTTTGAACTAAGTGAAGCAGGAGGGAAAAAGTTTCAGGCAAAAAGAATAGCATGTACAAAGGCTCTGTGCAGAAGGCAGGAAGAGGCAGTCAAGAAATTGAAAAAAATTCCATTTGACCCAGCAATCCCATTACTGGGTATATATCCAAAAGACTATAAATCGTTCTACTGTAAGGACACACGCACATGAATGTTCATTGCAGCACTGTTTACAATAGCAAAGACCTGGAACCAACCCAAATGCCCATTGATGATAGACTGGACTGGGAAAATGTGGCACATATACATCATGGAATATAATGCAGCAATCAAAAATGATGAGTTCATGTCCTTTGTGGGGACATGGATGAATCTGGAGAACATCATTCTCAGCAAACTGACACAAGAACAGAAAATGAAATACCGCATATTCTCACTCATAAGCGGGTGATGAAAAATGAGAACACATGGACACAGGGAAGGGAGTACTACACACTGGGGTCTACTGGGGGGAATAGAGGAGGGAAAGCGGTGGTGGGGGAGCTGGGGAGGGATAGCCTGGGGAGAAATGCCAAATGTGGGTGAAGGGGAGGAAGGCAGCAAAACACACTGCCATGTGTGTACCTATGCAACTATCTTGCATGTTCTGCACATGTACCCCAAAACCTAAAATGCAATAAAAATAAATAAATAAATAAATAAATAAGAAATTGAAGAAAAAAAAAGAAATTAAAAGCAGGCCAGTGTGGCTGGAGGGCAGATAGCAAAGGAGGGAGATAAGGCTTCAGATACCAACGACAACCACATTATGCAAGCTTTGTATGCCATGTTGGATTTGGGGTTTTTTCCTGATGGAGTGGGATTTTAAGCAGAAGATTGACATGATCAGTATATTTTCAAAATAGAAACTGGCTGCAACATGGACAATGGATTGGAAGAGTGCAAAAGTAGAGGTTGGGAAACCAATGAGTAAGAAAATTGCAGTAGTTCTTGCAAAGATGGTGATAGCTTGGACTAAGGAAAATTACAGCAGTTTTTGTAACAGGCAGCCATAGCTTAGACTATGGTATTGGCAATGGTTATGGAACAAAGTGACTAGATATAAGAGATCTTTAAAAGTAAAATCAACTGGGCTGAGTAATGGATTGAAATTAGGGAAAAATGAAGAGGAAGATATCAAGGATGATTTTAGGTTTCTGACCAAAGCAACTCTTGAGATAGTGGCACCTACATTACAATGGGGAATACTAAAAGAAAAGTGATTGTGGGGGGATGGAGTTTCATGAGTGTGATCTCATGTTTGCTGGTTTCAGGATCTTTTCAAGGTATCCAAGTGAACATGCCAAGCAGGTATCAAATAAAGCTCTATAAAACAAATCCCAACAAATTTGAAAGGACTGAAATCATACAAAGCATATTCTCTGACCGTGATAAAATGAAATTAGAAATCAACAATAGAAGGAAATTTGAGGAGTTCATAAATACACTGAAATTAAACAACATACTTCTAAATAATGAAAGGTCAAAGGATAAATTACAAAGGACATTAGAAAATACTTTGAAAGGGATGAAAACAAAAATACAACATGCCAAAATGCATTGAATGTAGCTAATGCAGTGCTTAAAGGGAAATTTATAGTTATAAATGCCTCTATTTAAAACAAAAAAAAAAAAGGAAAGATAGGGTCAGACATGGTGGCTCATGCCTATAATCCCAAAGGTCTGGAAGGCCAAGGCAGGACAATTGCCTTAGGTCAGGAGTTTGAGACCAACCTGGGCAACATAGAGAGACCCTGTCTCTACAAAAACATAAAATAAAAAATTCGTTGAGAATGATGATATGTGCCTGTTGTTCTAGTTACTTGGGAGGCTGAGGTGGAGGATTCACTTGAGCCCAGGAGCTCAATATTACAGTGAGATATGATTATGCCACTGCACTCTCCAAGCTGGGCAACAGAGACAGACTTTATCTCTAAAAAAAAATACTCAAAATGTTTTAAAAATTAATGAAGAAAAAGAAAAGATACCAATACACACCTATTAGAATGGCTAAAATCCAAAACGCTGACAGCACCAAATGCTGGTGAGGATGTAGAACAACAGGAAATCTCATTCATTGCTAGTGGGGATGGAAAATGATACAGCCACTTTAGAATACAGTTTGGCAGTTTTCTACAAAACAAAATATACTCTCACCATATAATCCAGCCATTGCACTCCTTGATATTTACCCAAATGAATTGAAAACCTCTGTCCACACAAAACCTGCACATGCATGTTTATGACGGCTTTGTTCATAATTGCCAAAACTTGGAAGCAAGATGTACTTCAGGAAGTGAATGGACAAATAAATTGAGATACAAACAGACAATGGACGATTATTCAATGCTAAAAAGAAATAAACTATCAAGCTGCAAAAAGATATGGAGAAATTTTAAATGCATGTTACCAAAAGAAGCCAATCTGAAAAGGCTACAGGCTGTATGATTCCAACTATATGAAATTCTGGAAAAGGCAAAACCAAGGAGATAATTAAAAGGTTAGTGGTTTCCAGGGCTTGAGGGAAAGGAGGAATTCATAGAGCACAGAAGAGTTTTAGGGCAGTGAAACTACTGTATCTACTATAATCATGGGTTAGGGTTAGGATTAAGGTTAGGGTTAGAGTTAGTATGTATTATTATACAGCTGTCAAGATCCACAGAATGCATACCAAGAGTGAGCCCTAATGTAAACTATGGACTTTGGGTGATGATGTGTCCATGTCAGTTTATCAATTGTAACAAATTTCACTGCAATGTACTAATGTACAGCATGTCAGTAGTGGGAAAGATTGTATGAGAGATGTGAGGACAGGGAGTATATGGGAACTCTCTGTACTTTTTGCTCAATTTTACTGTGAATCTAAAACTACTCTAAAAAATAAAGTCTATTAAAGAAAACGAAAGAGAGGAATAAGAGGAAGAATCTCAAATCAGTAACCTAAACTTACACTTTAACAATTTTTTTCCTTAGATCTTTCGTGTTAGTAAAGAAATTTTTTTTAAAAAAAAAGCAAACAAAACCAAAAGCAAGCAGGGGAAAAGAAATAATAAAGACTAGAGAGTAGAGATAAATTAAACAGAGAATAGAAACAATTCAGAAAATCCATGAAACTAAGAGTTAATTCTTTAAAAACACCAACAAAATTGACAGCTTTTAGCTGAGCTAACTAAAATTAAAAGTAAGAAGATTCAGATTACTAAATGCAGAAATAAAAGATAGGACGTCACAACTGAACTTACAGGAATAAAAGAATTAAAAGGGAATATTATGAAATATTGTAAGCCAACGAATTAGATAACCCAGATGAAATGGGCCAACTTCCAGAAAAACACAAATACCTAAACTGACTTAAAGAACAAATACAAAATCTTAATAGACCTATAACAAATACAGATATTGAATTAGTAAGTAAAAAAGTTTCTATGAAACAAAGCCCAAACCCAGATGGTTTTACTGGTGAATTCTCCCAAATATTTAAAGAAGAATTAACACTTATCTTTTCAAACTCTTCCAAAAATATCAGAAAAGAGAACATGTGCCAATTCGTTCTATGAGATCAATATTACCCTGATACCAAAATTAGACTAAATCAAAAGCATCACAAGAGAAAAAAAAATCTACAGGTCAACTTCCCTTATGAATATATATATGTGAAATTCCATAACAAAATACTGGCAACATATAAAAAGGATTGTAGACCATGATCAAGTGAAATTTATGCCAAGAATGCAAACTGGGTTTAACCTAGGAAAATTGATCAATGTAATGCAACATGTTAATAGAATAAAGAACACAAACTAATGATTATCTCAAAGACAAAAAAAAAAGCATTTGACAAAAATCCAACACCTTTCACATTGATAACACTCAGCAAACTAGAAATAAAAGGAAACATTATCAACCCGATAAAGTTGTTAGCAGTGAAAAACCCACAGCTAACATTATACTTAATGGTGGATGACTGAGTGCTTTCCCCGTAAGATTAGGAATAAGACAAAGATGTCTGTTCTTGCCATTTCTATTCAACATTGTACTCAAGGTTCCATCCAGGACAAAAGCAATAAAATGAAATTAATGGCTTCTAGATTGAAAAGAAAGTAATTAAACTATTATTTGCAGGTGACATGATGGTGTATGTAGAAAATCCTAAGGAATCTAAAATATTAAAATTAGGGCCAGGCATGGTGGCTCATGCCTGTAATCCCAGCACTTTGGGAGGCTGAGATGGGTGGATTCCTTGAGTTCAGGAGTTCAAGACCAGCCTGGGCAATATGGCAAAACCCTGTCTCTATCAAAAATACAAAAAATTAGCTGGGTATTGTGGCACATGCCTGCAGTCCCAGCTACCCAGGAGGCTGAGGTGGGAGAATTGCTTCAGCCTTGTAGGCAGAGGTAGCAGTGAGCTGAGATTATGCCACTGCACTCCAACCTGGGTGACAGAGGGAGACCCTGTTAAAAAAAAAAAAAAGCTAACGATTTCAGCAAGGTTTCAGGAAACAAGAACAATATACAAAAATTAGGTGTACTTCTATACACCAGCAGTGAATAATCCAAAAATTAAAATAGAAAAACAATACATTTAACAAAAGAAAACTTGTACACTGGAAACTACAAAACAAAAATGGTTGAAAGAAATTATATAAGACCTAAATAAATGAAAAGATGTCCCATGTTCATAGATTGGAAGACTTGATATTATTAAAATGGCAATACCCTCCAAACTGATTTACAGATTCAATACAATCCCTATCAGAATTCCAGCTGCCATTATTGAAGAAATGGACAAGCTGATTCAAAAATTCATGGGCAAAAATAAGATTGCATGTCGAGCCTGGAGAACACCTCAAGCCCTGTCTTTAGTGGCCCGACAAAGAAGAGTCAACAAACAAGCCTGAGAAGGAGGGGACACAGAGATGAAAGGGACACCAGGAGAGAGTGGTGTCATGGAACCCAACAGAACAGAGGGTCTCAAGGAGGTCAGCGGGGGCTACTGCTGCTGGGAGGTCAAGTAAGATAAGGACTGAAATTTGTCCCCTGGGTTAGAGATAGAAAAGTCATGAATAACCTCAGCAGAAGTAGCTTATGTAACATGAAGAGGCTGGAATACAGACTGGAATGGATTAAAGAGGGAGAGAGGGTAAAAAATGAGACCACAAATATACTTTCTTCAAAGGCTTTGGTAGTGAAAAGGAGGAAAGAACTAAAGCAGAGGGGATGGTGGGCTGAGTAAATGTGTGTGTTCATCTGCTTACTTGCATTTAAGAAGGAAAAGATCTCAGTTTGAGTATCAGTGGAGGAGGAGTGATAAAATATACAAGAAGGAGAAGGAGTTATTGATGGCTCTCTATCCTCAGGGGAAGCGAGTAGGAGAAAGATTGGCCTTGAAAGAGGAAGGAAATGTTTCTCTACTGTAACAGGAGGGGAGATAAGGACAGGGAAGATAAGGATAGAAGCTGAGAGGTTCCCACTGATGGCATGATTTTTCTCTGATAAATAGGAATTTTGAGTTGTTTCCTAGGAGTGAGTGTGAGGATTGAGGTGCTGGAGGTTTGAAAAAGAGAAGATCTTCAAATGGCTGGAGGAGAGCATGAGATCTCTGCCTGTCAGGCATTGCTGTAACCCATGTGAGGGTTGTGGTCATGATTCAAGATGGCAGCCACCTACTCTATTGCACAGGCGGGACTTGGGGTGGGGAGTGGGAAGATAGTAGAGTTTGGGGTTAGCCAGGGGGATGTGATGGAAGGTCAGAGGGTAAGAAATTCACTGCCAGTGAAGGATCATGGAAGCTAAGCTACATTCCAAGGAAAGTGAAGAAAAGAAAGTGCTAAGAGATTGAGAGAAAGGAGATGGCAAGAAAGGAAAGCAACCAAGAGGTTGCTCATTGAAAAGGAATTTTTACAGTGGGAGAAGTTGAGCATGCAGAGTAAGGAGGCAAGCCTAGCCTTGTGCTGGGATTTTTGATATCCATATGAGGCTGCTCTACCCACCCCTAAAACCCACCCAAGGAGAACCACCAGAGTCCAGTAAAAATGTTTTTGAGTAGGACTCAGGAATCCTGGTTCTACCTCAAACTTCACACCCCAGTAGGAAGACACCAATCTTCAGTGTACTCTTTATGACATTGGCATAGAACTTTACAATCTCAAATGCAAACACCTTCATATCCATTAATTCCTTGGGCCTTCCAAAAAAACAAAAAACAATATGCAAAAATGGCAAAGCAGGAACAATTATTTCTATTTTCCATATATGAAGAAATGGACTGGGGAACGACCATCCTGGAGCTCTTTCCCTGAAGCCAGACATGCACAGGTTCGAATCTTGCCTCTATCAGTTACAAATTGAAAACTATAGGTAGGTTTCTTTATCAAGTTTCAGTTTGATTTACTCGTTAAAAACATGGATTCACCATGTCTATTGTACAAGGTGGCTACAAAGTCAAAGGAGATCATGCATGCTATGTACTTAGGACATGCATGCTATGTACTTAAGACATGTATGCTATGTACTTAGGACATGTATGCTATGTACTTAGGATATGTATGCTATATACTTAGGACATGTATGATATGTACTTAGGATATGTATGCTATGTACTTAGGACATGTATGCTATGTACTTAGGACATGTATGCTATGTACTTAGGATCACGTATGCTATGTACTTAGTGCCTAAGTTGTCCTAAGAGGCTCAGGAAAATTAACGACTTGCCAAATTCACATAGTTAGCAATGGGAGAACGGGACACGACTCAGTGAGGGGGTGACCCAGCAACACCTACCTCCTCTGTATCAGGTAAGCCAGGGCTTGATTAATTCTAGCTCACTGATGGGATCACCTATGAGCTGAGGCTCCATGGTCCCATCAGACTTCACCTACAAAACACAAATTCAAAGACAAAATTATTAAGAAATTCAAGATGGTGTCCATAGAGCATTAAACCTCAATCTAGAAGGGTCCTCCTCACACCCTTGCCAACTGCAGGTCCTTCTGAGTGCGGGGCCCTGTGCAGCTGCCCTGGTTGTACAGCAATGAAACTGATACTCTTCTCACATCTACTTTCTCAGTAAGTGACAGCAGCTTCTACTCTGAATCCAATCTAGAAGCCTCCTCGGACTCCGCTGAGTAACACAGGGTCTACTTGAAGCATCTCCCAAAAGTCACCGCTCTGACCCAGTTGTTCATCCTCCCACCCAGACCCCCTGCCTTCTGCATCTCCCTATCCAGCCCCCTCAGAGATCTTTCTTGTTTTTTTTTTTTTTTTTTGGAGATGGAGTCCTGCTCTGTCGCCCATGCTGGAGTCCAGTGGCATAATCTCAGCTCACTGCAACCTCCTTCAAAGACTTTTCTAAAGCAATGCAGAGACCACATCACTGGTGTCCTCAAAAACTCTTATGGGCTCATCACTGCCCTGGGGAAATAGGTTTCAACATCTTATAATGGCATCCAAGACCTACCACCATTGTGATATTTTCTAGCTTTACCCTCAAACTTTCTCTCTACCTGGGTAACCTTTATGCCAACATCACTACACTGACTGCATGCTGTGATTTTACATCTTCCCTACCAGCCATACACACCACACCCCTGCCTCTGCCCTCACTTCAGTGAACTACTCATATAAGGCTCACCTTTTCCTCCCTGCCTTGGCAATCACTCATTCCTCTGCCTTCAGCTGTACCTGAGTTGCCCCTCTTTTGTGGCTGTTTCATTCATTTATTTACTACATACTTACTAAGCACCTACTGTATGCTAGATCCTGCTCTGGACACTGGGATATGACTAGAAAATGAGGCCTGGCATGGTGGCTCATGCCTGTAATCCTAACACTTTGGGAGGCCGAGGTGGGTGGACCCCTGAAGTCAGAACTTAAAGGCCAGCCTGGCCAACGTGGCGAAACCTCGTCTCTACTAAAAATACAAAAATTAGTTGGGCCAGGTGGCACATGCCTATAATCCCAGCTACTCGGGAAGCTGAGGCAGGAGAATCACTTGAACCCAGAGGGCGGGGTTGCAGTGAGCCGAGATTGCGGCACTGCACTCCAGCCTGGGCGAAAGAGCAAGACTCCATCTCAAACAAAAAGAAAGAAAATGGGAAAGATTCCTTCCTAAAGGAGCTTACATTCTAGTTGGGAAGGAGGACAAGAAGCCAAATAAATAAGTAAAATATATTGTGAGTGACATAAGCTATAGAAAAAGTAAAGCAGAAAGGAGCAGGGAGCCTGGGGGTGGATGTGCAATTTTAAGTGGAAAGATGAGGCAAGAAGTCCCCAAAGTGACTTCCTTCAGAGCAAAGACCTGATGCAAACGGAGAAACAAACCATGAGATACCAGCTCCAGAAGACTGCTCCGGGCAGAAGCAGAAGCAGAAGCAGCAGGTACAGAAGCCTCAGGTAGAACTGTGCCTGGGGTGTGTGAGGAACAGAGAGAAGGCCAGTGAGGATGGAGCTCAAAGATATTAGAGATGAGGACAGAGATGATGAGAATCCAAGTCCCCAGGGCCCTGTAGACCAGGAAAAGGACCTTGACTTGTACTCTGAGTCACATGGGAAAACGTTGGAGAATGTTAATCAAAAAAGGTTAAAAAAAAAAAAGAAAAAAAACTATTATTTGTTTCTATGTCTATCTCCAAGTAGCCTGTGCATTTCTGGGGCCTGGGTTTTCTAGACCTCTGCCTGGCCCACATAGTAGGTGATCAGTGGGTGCTTATGGGTGTTTGTTGAATCAACAGGTGAGTAAGCTCAAGGCCATGGGTTTGTGTCTTCCACAGGTTGGCCGGCTGTGGCCTCACGGCTGAGGGCTGCAAGGACCTTGCCTCTGGGCTGAGAACAAACCAGACCCTGACCGAGGTGGAGCTGAGCTTCAATGTGCTCACAGATGCTGGAGCCAAACACCTTTGCCAGGGACTGAGATGGCCAACCTGCAAGCTACAGCGACTGCAGTAATTGCTCCTGGTGTGCAGGGGAGGTGGGGGGAGCTGCCTGCCACCATGAGGCAGACGGAGGGGACAGGCAGAGAGAAGGTGAGACCTGCTTTGTGGGAGTGGGAGGAGCCTACTGGATCTCAGCGAAGCAGTAGAGGCTCAGGAGGAAGCTCACCCACCCCTGGACAGAGGGAGGGGGCCTCCAGGCTCTGGAGCAAGAGAAACCAAGTCGAGTCAAGGGGCATGGATGCAAGGTGGGGACAAGGGGCAGAATTTGTGGCTATTTTCAGACTACCACAGAGGATGATGATAATAGTACCAACTTCATAAAGCAGCAGTGTTTTTCTATTCCTCTCCTGTTCCCACCAGCTGTGATCTACCTAGTAACAGGTCCTCTCACTTGGCATGAGGCTCTGCCATGGAGAGCTAAAATCACTGGTGTCCACTTAATTCAATATTCTATCTCATTCGAAAGGATAGAGCCATGCCCCTTACCATGTAGAAACAAGGCCAGGCAATGTGGTTCATGCCTGTAATCCCAGCACTTCAGGTGGTCGAGGTGGGCAGATTTGAGGTCAGTTCGAGAACAGCCTGGCCAACATGGTGAAACCCTACCTCTACTAAAAATATAAAAATTAGCTGGGCACTTATAATCCCAGCTACTGAGGAAGACTATAATCCCAGCTACTGAGGGAGGCTAAGGTAGGACAATCGCTTGAACCCAGAAGGTGGAGGTTGCAGTGAGCCAAGATCACACTATTGCACTGGGCAAACAATCACACCATTGTTTGGGCAGCAGAGCAAGACTCCTCAAAAAGGAAGGAAACGAGAGGGGAGGGGAGCAAGGTTGGCTGGTCGTGGTGGCTCATGCCTGTAATTCCAGCACTTTGGGAGGCCAAGGCAGGTGAATCACCTGAGGCGAGAGGTTCAAGACCAACCTGGCCAACATGGTGAAACCACGTCTCTATTAAAAATACAAAAATTGGCCAGCCATAGTGATGCACGCCTGTAATCCCAGCTACTCAGGAGGCTAAGGCAGGAGAATCACTTAAACCTGGGAGGTGGGGTTGCAATAAACTTGAGATTGCGCTACTACAGTCCAGCCTTGGCCACAGAGTCAGACTTCTTCTCAAAAAAGAAAGAAAGAAAGAAAGAAAAGAAAAGAAAGAAAGAAAGAAAGAAAGAAAGAAAGAAAGAAAGAAAGAAAGAAAGAAAGAAAAGAAAAGAAAGAGAAAACAATTAGACCCAGGTTTACAAGTGGGACATTGAGTAAGTTACTCATCGATGTAGACAGAGTGAAGGGATAGGATCAGTGGGAATCACACAGGATTGAGAAAGGGTGGGTGCCAGCATCCTGAGGGGTTCTGTGGCTGCAAGAGGAAAGTGAAAATCTCTCAGGTTACTGCAAACCAGGAAAGTTTGTATCTTCTCAGCATGTCACCCCAGACCCCTAAAAGGCTACACATGCTAGGAAGGAAGATCAGAAGAGCCTGCCCTCAGGACAGTGACCTGGACTGGTGTGTATCTTTCCTGTAGGCTGGTCAGCTGTGGCCTCACGTCTGGCTGCTGCCGAGCCCTGGCATCTGTGCTTAGCGCCAGCCCCAGCCTGACGGACCTAGACCTGCAGCAGAATGACCTGGATGATGTCGGCGTGCAGCTGCTCTGTAAGGGACTCAGGCGTCCTACCTGCAAACTCACACGCCTGGGGTAAGGCCCTGTGGGTCCCTTCTAGGCAGAGGGCAGAGAAGATGATTGTGGGGGATGTCAGACAGGGAAGGAAAAGGGACTGATAAATTCATAATCAGCACACATTTCTTACCAACTCTACCACTTACACACTGTGTGACTTGGACAAGTCACCAAATTCTCTGTGATTCTTTCTTCATCTATGAAATGGGAATACCATACCCACCTCATGGATTGTAATATATATAAAAACAAGGACAGGAAAGATGTGGTGGCTCACACCTGTAATCCCAGCACTTTGGGAGGCAAAGGTGAGTGGATCAAGGAGGGGTCAGGAGTTTGAGACCAGCCTGGCCAACTTGGTGAAACTCATTTCTACTAAAAATACAAAAATTAGCTGGGCATGGTGGTGGGCACTAGTAATCCCAGCTACTCCGGAGGCTGACGCAGGAAAATCACTTGAACCCAGAGGTTAAGGTTTCAGTAAGCCAAGATGGCACCACTGCACTCCAGACTGGGTGAAAGAGTGAGACTCAGTCTCAAAAATAAATTAATTAATTAATAATTAAATACAATAAAATAAAAACAAGGACATTACTGGGAAGAGTTGGGCATGATCAAATGATAACTGTTACTGAGGCTACATGTTATAGGCAACTCCCAGATTCCCTTTACTCCAGGGCAGTGCTTCATTCATTTAGTTACTCATTCATTCATTCACTGACTGCCTCCAATGTGCAAGCACCAGGCTGGGCCCTGGGGTACAATAGTGACCAAACAGACATGGGCCCTGCCCTCCTGAAGCTTACACTCTAGTGAGGAACAGATGAACACTGGTCACTTGTTCACTTGTAAATGCACAAGTATATATGTATGGGCTCTGTGGAGTGCTACGAAAGGAAAGAACAGGGTATTATGAGAATGTGAAATTGGGGGAGGGTGGAATTGGATCAAAGGACCAGGGACGACTTCCCTGAGAAAGTGACATCAGGCTGAGGTCTAAAGGAGGAAGAGTTACCCAGGCCAAGCTGGGGAGAGTAGCCCAGGCAAGGAGATGGAATAGGGAAAGGCCTGGAACAAAGAGGCGCTTGACCCCAGAGAGATGAAGGACACTGAGAGGCTGGAGTGGAGCAAGCCCCCAGCCCTTATTTCTATCTGGTGGGCCCCAGAGATTCTTGCCCTTCCCCGAGCAGCCACCCCCACGCTATCTCTGGGCCACTTCTGCTCCTGGGCCGCTTCTGTGTTAACACTTAAGTATGGCTCCTGCTAGGGCCCCTGCTACATGCTCAAGGAGCAGACAGGGGCTCCAAACTCCCACTTCCAGAGCCTTCTCAGAGGGGGTCCGAGAAACCTGGGCCTCAGGCTTTCTTCGGCAAGGCCTCCCAAACCAAAACAAGTGGTCAAGGCAGAGAAACAGAAATAGTCTACATTTGGGTTCTCCTGTAGCTGAGCTAGCCATTTACAACCATAGGAACTCCATCCCAAAGGGGCAGTACCTTTGCACCCCAGCCTGCTGCTCCCCACTCAGTATTTTTGGCTATCATCACCTCCCCTATGTTGAAGAGCCTCTCCCCAGAGCATGTCCACTGTGGGCAGACACGGCAGACACACCTTCAGGCCCCAGCTCAACACTTACCTGTCAAACCTGGGCTGCCTCCAAGGGGTTTTGCTCTCTAGAGTCCCAAGAAGGTTTCCACCGCCTTCCCTCCTGGAGCCAGGACTTAGTTGAGAAGAATAAGCTTCTACTTGAAGGGCTGCCCTCCTCCACAGGGACAGAACAGCTCTGACAGCAGGAGGGGCACGAATGCAGAGCCCTGCAGAGCCCTTCACAGAAGGCAGGGTCTTTTCACCTCCTCCTTGTCTGTGCCTCAGAATAGGCAGGACAGGAGTGATTCACCCCACAGGGTAGATTGAGGACACAGAGACCCAGAGAAGACAATCAGCATCCCACATCTGGCAGAAAACCCAGAGCACAAGGCCTGGGAGAATGGAACCAGGACTCTCTTCCCAGCAAAACTTATGACCTCTGGGAAGAAAATCCCAGGACCCAGGCCTCAGGTGGTCATTTTCAGGCCATGGGGAATGTCCCTGGCAACTGGTTACAGAGACACCCTCTGCCAGTGAGAGCTATCTCACCCAAGGCCACATCTCCTTCCTGGGGAGGCCCGCATCCGATACCTGGCCGATGTTGGTGTATAAAGGCCCAGACCCCCATGCCAACTCCTTTAAACAGCTCTACAGAATCATCCCACAGAGTAGGCTGAGGCCTCCATGGAGACTGACTCACAGCCCATGTCGGGGGATTGCCTCCCTTCTCTTGCCCTGGCGTTGACCCAAGAACACACCCAAGTGAATCTCCTCACTATACCTCCTCTTGGGTTCCCTAAGAGCCTCATCCTCAGAACCAGGCTCTTAGGGAACCCACCCTTCAGAAGGAAGCCACTCCTTCAGAAGGTGATAAGTCTGGGAATTCTGGGCCTGGAAGACCTGGGAACTACATGGGGTATCCCAGGAGGACCTCACTCCCTTTGTGCTTTTAGGCTGGACCAGACAACTCTGAGCAATGAGACCAGGCAGGAGCTGAGAGCCCTGGAGCAGGAGAAGTCCCAGCTGCTCTTGTTCTACACACGGTAAGGGGTAGCCCCAGAACTCCCTCTGACTGATTCAAGCCCAGGGCTGAGCAGGAGACAGGGAAAGAGCCTTGGGGTGAGAGACAAACCTGGCCAGGGAGAAACCAAGAAGCTGCAGCACCCAGAGTGAGATGCACTTGTCAGTGCAAATAAAATGAAATCTCCCCATACTTCAACTCTTGCGCAAGACAAACAAGGAAAGGAAAACATGAAAAAGTAAGTAGGCTAAAAAATTCGCCGGGCGTGGTGGCACATGCTTGTAGTCCCAGCTACTCAGGAGGCGGAGGCACAAGAATTGCTTGAACCGGGCAGGCAGAGGCTGCAGTGGGCCAAGATTGCAGCATTGCACTCCAGCCTGGGCAACAGAGTGAGACTGGCTCTGTAAAGTTAACTAATTAATTAATTAATTAATTTAATGAAAACCAAGACAATGCTGGGGAAAGAGTCGGGCATGACCAAATGATAACTGTTAATGAAGTAGCACATTCTAAGGGACTCCCAGGTTCCCTTCACGCCAGCACAGCAGTTCATTCATTCATTTACACATTCATTCATTCACTGAGTGCCTTCGATGGGCAAGCACTATGGTGGGCCCTGGGGTATAATAGAGAGCAAACAGACGTGGACTCTGCCCACCTGAAGTTTACACTCTAGTGCAGAAGAGACGGACGTTGTCTACCTGTAAATGTACAAGTATATATGTATGGGCTCTGTGGAGTGCTATGAAAGGAAAGAACAGGGTATTATTAGAATGTGATATTGGGGGAGGAAGAAATTGGATCAAAGGGCCAGGGACGACTTCCCTGAGAAAGTGACATCAGGCTGAGGTCTGAAGGAGGAAGAGGTACCCAGGCCAAGTTGGGGAGGGTAGTCCAGGCCAAGGGATGGCGTGGCAAAATGCCTGGAACAAAGAGGCACTGGCGCCCCGGAGAGCTGAAGAACCCTGAGCAGCTGGAGTGGAGCGTGCTTCCAGCCCTCATTTCCATCCTGTGGGCCCCAGAGATTCTTGCCCTTCCCCGAGCAGGCACCCCCACGCTATCTCTGGGCCACTTCTGCTCCCCTCTACTCTCTGGGAACAATCTTATGGGCCGCTTCTGTGTTAACACTTAAGTATGGCTCCTGCTAGGGCCCCTGCTACATGCTCAAGGAGCAGACAGGGGCTCCAAACTCCCACTTCCAGAGCCTTCTCAGAGGGGGTCCGAGAAACCTGGGCCTCAGGCTTTCTTCGGCAAGGCCTCCCAAACCAAAACAAGTGGTCAAGGCAGAGTAACAGAAATAGTCTACATTTGGGTTCTCCTGTAGCTGAGCTAGCCATTTACAACCATAGGAACTCCATCCCAAAGGGGCAGTACCTTTGCACCCCAGCCTGCTGCTCCCCACTCAGTATTTTTGGCTATCATCACCTCCCCTATGTTGAAGAGCCTCTCCCCAGAGCATGTCCACTGTGGGCAGACACGGCAGACACACCTTCAGGCCCCAGCTCAACACTTACCTGTCAAACCTGGGCTGCCTCCAAGGGGTTTTGCTCTCTAGAGTCCCAAGAAGGTTTCCACCGCCTTCCCTCCTGGAGCCAGGACTTAGTTGAGAAGAATAAGCTTCTACTTGAAGGGCTGCCCTCCTCCACAGGGACAGAACAGCTCTGACAGCAGGAGGGGCACGAATGCAGAGCCCTGCAGAGCCCTTCACAGAAGGCAGGGTCTTTTCACCTCCTCCTTGTCTGTGCCTCAGAATAGGCAGGACAGGAGTGATTCACCCCACAGGGTAGATTGAGGACACAGAGACCCAGAGAAGACAATCAGCATCCCACATCTGGCAGAAAACCCAGAGCACAAGGCCTGGGAGAATGGAACCAGGACTCTCTTCCCAGCAAAACTTACGACCTCTGGGAAGAAAATCCCAGGACCCAGGCCTCAGGTGGTCATTTTCAGGCCATGGGGAATGTCCCTGGCAACTGGTTACAGAGACACCCTCTGCCAGTGAGAGCTATCTCACCCAAGGCCACATCTCCTTCCTGGGGAGGCCCGCATCCAATACCTGGCCGATGTTGGTGTATAAAGGCCCAGACCCCCATGCCAACTCCTTTAAACAGCTCTACAGAATCATCCCACAGAGTCGACTGAGGCCTCCATGGAGACTGACTCACAGCCCATGTCGGGGGATTGCCTCCCTTCTCTTGCCCTGGCGTTGACCCAAGAACACACCCAAGTGAATCTCCTCACTATACCCTGCTCCTCAGAGCCCCGTTCCCAGGGAACCCACCCTGCAGCCACTCTTTCAGAAGGTGGCAGTTTCCCAGATTCTGGATCCTGAGGACCTCCGAACCACATGGGGGTTCCCAGGAGGACCCAGCTACCTTTATGCTTTCAGGCATTTCCAACAGCTCTGAGCAATGAAATCAGGTAGAAGCAGAAGGCCCTAGTGCAGAAGCCTCGGATTCAGATCTTTCTCATATGACGGTAAGGAGGAGCGCCAGAACTCCCTCTGGCTGATCCAGGCCCAGGGCTGATCAGGAGACAGGGAAAGAGTCTTGGGTGAGAGATAAACACAGCCAGGAGGAAACCAAGAAACCACAGCAGGCAGAGTAAGGAGCCCTTGTCAGTGCAAAGTGAATCAACCCCCCGCCCCCAGCTTAAACTCTTCCATAGGCAGGCAAGGAGAGAACTTGAAAAAGTAAGTGGGCTAAAAAACTAGCTGGGTGTGGTGGCAGGTTCCTGTAGTGCCAGCCACTGGGGAGGCTGAGACATGAGAATCACTTGAACCAGGAAGGCGGAAGCTGCAGTGAGCCAAGATCGTGCCACTGCACTCCAGCCTTGGCAACAGACCGAGACTGCATCTCAAAAAAAGGAAAAGAAAAGAAAAAGTCAGTGAACCAGCGAATCCCCTAGACCCAGCACAGCTTGATACCAAATGGCCCCTTGTTCAGGAATCCTTTGGTGAAGAACAGAGAAGGTTTGGAACAATGAAAGCAATGATCACAAGAGGGAGACAAAGACAGAAGAGCCTGTGCCTTGGGAAAAATACCACCCTCGCCATCACTGTCATCCACCACCCTCACCACCACCACCACACCCACCCCTCACTTGAGGGGAAGCCCAGGGACAGGAAAGTCCATCTTTCACTCCCCAAGGAATCAGCTGCAGCCCTTGTGTTCTCCCAGTTGGGTGCATTTCCACCTGACCACGAAGCATATCTGTCCCCAGGTTCCTGGCTGCTGTGTCTCACCTGAAATGGAAGGAAAAGAGCTCCTAGGCTTAAGAGGAGCCATTCATTCATTGAACAAACATTCCCTGCAGACCCACAGTGTGTCGGGCACTATGTTGGGATCTGAGGACACAATGAACAAGAAAGATATGGCTCAACCTCCACGAGCTTAGTCCAACAGGTAGACATGCACAGGTTATCCCACGAGTGTCTGCAATTACACCTGGGGTCAGTGTGAGTACACTGATGGGCCTGTTTGACCTGGACAAGAGGAGCTGAGCTAAGCTCTGAAAGATAGGACGAGTTGGCTGGGCCCATGAAGGGGTGGATTCCAGGCAGAAGTAGAGGCTCTGAGGGAGAAAAGAGTTTAGCCTCTGCGAGGAATGGGAGGCCAGGCATCAGGAGCCGCTGCTCAAAGTGTGATCCGTGGACCAGCAGCATCAGTATCACCTTTACCAGGAGCTTGCTAGAAATGAAAATTCTCAGGCCCCACTCCAGACCTGCTGAATCAGGATCTCTGGGGTGGGGCCCAGGAATCTGTGTCTTTTTTTTTTTTTTTTCTTTTTCTTTTTTTGAAACAGAGTCTTTCTCTGTCACCCAGGCTGGAGTGCAATGGAGTGATCTTGGCTGACTGCAACCTCTGCCTCTCCAGTTCAAGTGATTATTCTGCCTCAGCCAACCAAGTAGCTGGGATTATAGGCACATAACACCATGCCTGGCTAATTTTTGTATTTTTAGTAGATACAAGGTTTTATTGTATTGGCCAGGCTGATCTCAAATTCTTGACCTTGTTATCCACCCACCTCGGCCTCCAAAAGTGCTGGGATTACAGGCGTGAGCCACTGTGCCCAGCTGAGTCTGTGTCTTAACCAGCCTTCCAGGTGATTGTTAAGCATACTGAGTTTGAGAACTAGAGGTCAGTGAGCAGGAAGAACATGCCCCAGTTGACACTGGAGGGTGACAGAGGCCCCAGCAAGCCCTTTTGGACCATGTTTAAAACTTACCATTTTCCCCTAGAAGCAATGGAAAGACATTACAGGGCTGCGGCAGCCAAGTGATGGGTCAAGTTCCTATTTTAACATCTGCTGCTATGCAGAAAATGGGCAGCAGAGGGACCTGAGCAGAAGCAGGGAAACCTTTTGAGGATGCTGCAGTGGTACAGGCCACAGAGTCCAGGGCCCGGGACTCGGGTGGAGGTCATGGAAATGCAGAGAAGAGAATAGAAAAAAGAGCTATTTAGGAGGTGTTGTCAAGGTGATCGGCTCTTAGGGTTGGTGAGCAAAGAGTTGGGATGATGCCCCAGCTCTCCTGGATGCATGAGTGGATGGAGGCCACTTACAGAGACAGGGACCACAAAAGAAGCACAAAATTGAGTTCAAATTCAGATGAGGTTTGGTTTGATTTGGTTTGGTTTGGTGACCGTGTCTGGCTGTATTGCCTAGACTGGAGTGCAGTGGCACAACCTCAGCTCACTGCAACCTCTGCCTCCTGAGCTCAAGTGATCCTCCCACTGCCTTCCAAGTACCTGGGAATTCAGGTGCATGATGCCACCATGCCCAGCTAGTTTTCATATTTTTGGCAACGATGAGGTGGGGAGGTCTCACTATGTTAACTCAGGCTGATCTTGAACTCCTAAGCTCAAGCCAGCCACCCATCTACCTGCTGTGCCCCAGCGGTAGCACAGCAGGAACTCGCCTACTTGCCTTCTCCTGCCTCTCAGGAGGACCTGCATACGAAACCTTTAGGGACTGATGATGACTTCTGGGGCCCCACAGGGCCTGTGGCTACTGAGGTAGTTGACAAAGAAAGGAGCCTATACTGGTGAGTGAGGGCTCTGCTGGTCCCAGGCTGGCCTCCCCCACCCCACTGCCCATCCTCGGTCCCCACAGTCAGTGCCCCCCAACTCACACTGGCCATTGGGTCCCCTCCCCTTGCCAAAAAAACAGGCAAGGACAGGACTGAGACACTGGGTATGTGCTTATCATGATGCAAAAGATGTTTTCTTATGAAACTTTAAATTTTCAAACATACACAAAAATAGAGAGTACAAGGAGCTTCCATGTACCCATTACCCAGCTTTAGGCACTGTTTTGCCAAATTTGTTTCAGCTGTTCACTTCCCTGCTTTGTTATTGTTACAGTATTTTAAATCCAAGACGTCAGGTGATTTTACCCTTAAATATTTCATTATGCATCTCAAAAAACAAAAATTAAAACCTTTTCTTCCATAACATAACTACAATACCAATATCACATCTAACAAAGCTGACAATAAGTCTTTCATTTCATCTAATCCCCAATTCATATTCAAATTGTTCAGTTGTCTAAAACATGTTCTTGGAGTTGGTGTGTTTTTTTTTTTTTTTTGAGACCGAGTCTCGCTCTGTCATCCAGGCTAGAGTGCAGTGGCACAATCATGGATCACTGCAACCTCCGCCTTCTGGGTTCAAGCGATTCTCCTGCCTCAGCCTCCGGAGTAGCTGGGACTAAACTCGCATACCACCACGCCCAGCTAATTTTTGTATTTTTAGTACAGACGGGATTTCACCATATTGGACAGTCTGGTCTTGAACTCCTGACCTCAGGTGATCCACTCACCTAGGCCTCCCTAGTGCTGGGATTACAAGCGTGAGCCACCGTGCCCAGCCAGTTGGTTTGTTCTTATCAGGATCCAAACAAGCTCCACTCATTTTATTTTATTTATTATGCTTTGTAAATCTCACTTAACTCTCTTTTAATTTATGTGCTTCTGTTTTATTAACAGCCACCCATGAGCTAAGGACTGTTCTAGCGGTTGGGAACCCTGAGATGACTATGGCAGCCCTGCCCTCCCAGGGCTTATAGTTGCATTAGTAATAATTGCCTGTAGTCACACTCATGATATCAAACCTAGATAAGGTTTTGTATGTTTTTAATCTTTTTTTTTTTTTTTTTTTGAGATACAGTCTGGCTCTGTCACCCAGGCTGGAGTACAGTGGCACGATCTGGGCCAGTAGCTGGAATTACAGATGTGTGCCACCAAGCCCAGTAATTTTTTGTATTTTTAATAGAGAGGGGTTTTCACCATGTTGGCCAGGTTTATTTGTTTGTTTTTAATGCAGCGTCTGGCTCTATCGTCCATACTGGAGTGAAGCTGCATACTTCTCAGCTCACTGCAACCTCTGCCTCCTGGGCTCAAATGATCCTCCCATTTCAGCCTTCCAAATAGGTGGGATTACAGGTGCCTGCCACCATGCCCAGATAATTTTTGTATTTTGGGCAGATATGAGGTGGAAGGTCTCACTATGTTACCCAGGCTGGTCTCAAACTACTGAGCTCAAGCCATCCACCTATCTCGACCTCCCAAAGTGCTAAGATTACAGATGTGAGCCACTGCACTAAGCCCGAGGATGAGTTGAATTTTAAGTGGGGATGTCATGTAGACAGCCCTCACTTTCTCCAAGATTTTAGGAAGAACGAACAATTCTTTCTCCAGGAAACCAAGTGCGATGATCCCTAATGAGGGCCTGGATATAGGAGACATGAGTAACAGCACATCCTCACTCAAGCGACAGAGACTCAGATCAGGTAGTTAGAAGGCGCGAAGCTGGGAGCATCATGATGGCTTGGGGGAGGCCAGCTATGGGAGGTCATTCCCTCCAGCCCTCTGCCCCTGATGTGGGACAGGGCGGGTTCCCTACCCCTACGAAAGAACTCCCACTCCTAAGAACTGGCTACATTTCTGCTTCCCTCTCTCCTAGGCTCAGGGGCTGGTGCTACCTTTCCCCAGAAAATCTGTGACATGTATCAAACCCTGAACAAGGGTCCAGCCTCCCATTCTTGGCTGCCAAGGCCTGGGAACCAGGAATTTTCCCTGCCATCTTTAAAAAAAAGAAAAAAAGAAAAGAAAAACAGGGTCTCATTTTACCGCTTAGGCTGGAATGCAGTGGCATGTTCATAGCTCACTGCAGCCTTAACCTCCGAGCTCAAACAATCCTCCCACCTCAGCCTCCTGAGTAGAACTGGGACTGCAGACGCACACCACCATGCCTGGCTGATATTTTTCTTTTTTCTGTAGAGACGGAGTCTTCCTATGTTGCTCAGGCTGATCTCAAACCCTTGGACTGGAGCAATCCTCCCGCTAAGGCCTTTCACAGTGCTGGGATGACGAGCAAGAGCCACGGTGCCTGGCCCCCTTCATCTTTTGAAACATGTTCCTCTCTCAACCTGCCCAACTGGACATACTGGGAAGAGTGCTCCTTCTGTTCCAGTGTGCAAGGGGAGATAGGCAGAGGCTGGGCTGGAGGCAGTGGAGTGGGCCTACCCAGACAGCAGGCAGGCAGCCAAGGAGCAGGAGCAGAAGCTGCAGACATATTCCCTGCCATGGTCCAGGCAGGCCAGCCTTGTGAAGGCCCCTTACAGTGCAGCCATAGGGGCTGGGGGAGGCCAGGTGGAAGAATGTGGAGCTGACCACTGCCTTGCTGTTTCAGAGAGCGTCCCAAGGATAGCACAGCAGGAACTCGCCTACTTGCCATCTCCTGCCTCTCAGGAGGACCTGCATACGAAACCTTTGGGGAATGATGATGACTTCTGGGGCCCCACAGGGCCTGTGGCTACTGAGGTAGTTGACAAAGAAAGGAGCCTGTACCGGTGAGTGAGGGCTCTGCTGGTCCCAGGCTGGCCTCCCCCACCCCACTGCCCATCCTCGGTCCCCACAGTCAGTGCCCCCCAACTCACACTGGCCATTGGGTCCCCTCCCCTTGCCAAGAAAACAGGCAAGGACAGGACTGAGACACTGGGTATGTGCTTATCATGATGCAAAAGATGTTTTCTTATGAAACTTTAAATTTTCAAACATATACAAAAATAGAGAGTACAAGGAGCTTCCATGTACCGATTACCCAGCTTTAGGCACTGTTTTGCCAAATTTGTTTCAACTGTTCACTTTCCCTCCTTTGTTATTGTTACAGTATTTTAAATCCAAGACGTCAGGTGATTTTACCCTTAAATATTTCATTATGCATCTCAAAAAACAAAAATTAAAACCTCTTCTTCCATAACATAACTACAATACCAATATCACATCTAACAAAGCTGACAATAAGTCTTTCATTTCATCTAATCCCCAATTCATATTCAAATTGTTCAATTGTCTAAAACATGTTCTTGGAGTTGATGTGTTCTTTTATTTTATTTATTTATTTATTTTTGAGACAGTCTTACTCTGTTGTCCAGGCTAGAGTGCAGTGGCACAATCATGGATCACTGCAACCTCCACCTCCTGGTTCAAGCGATTCTCCTGCCTCAGCCTCCCTAGTAGCTGGGACTCCACTTGTATGCCACCACGGCTGGTTTATTTTTGTATTTTTAGTAGAGATGGGGTTTCACCATATTGGACAGGCTGGTCTCAAACTCCTGACCTCTTGTGATCCATTCCACTCACGTAGGCCTCCCAAAGTGCTGGGATTACAGGCATGAGCCACTGTGCCCAGCCAGTTGGTGTGTTCTTACCAGGATCCAAACAAGGTCCAACCTCATTTTATTTTGTTTGATGTTTCTTAAATCTCACTTAACTCTCTTTTAATCTATATGTTCCTGTTTTATTAACAGCCACCAATGAGCTAAGGATTGTACTAGTAGCTGAGAACCCTGAGATGAATATAGCAGCCCTGCCCTCCCAGGGCTTATAAGTTGCATTAGTAATCATTGTCTGTAGTCATACTCATGATCTCTTATATAACGTATTACTGCTCACCAAACACTGCCACAGACATTATGTCAGCCAGGAGATAGCATCACTCCCAACTCACACCTACAGAAGCTGGGGTATCCTGGGACCCACTATTAACCCACATGGGGAGCCTTGGGAAAATCACTTCCGATCTCTGTAAAGCGTTCTTTTCCGTTCTAAGAGTTTAGCATTAATATTAGCACATATGGCCAGGCATGGTGTCTCATGCGTATAATCCCAGCAGTTTAAGAGACCAAGGCAGGAGAATCACTTGAGTCCAGGAGTTCAAGGCCAGCCTGGGCAACATGGTGAAACCCTGTGTCTACAAAAATTACCAAAAAAATTAGCTGAATGTGGTGGCGTGTGCCTGTAGTCCCAGCTACTCAGGGAACTGAGGTGGGAGAATTGCCCAAGCCGGGGAATTCAAGGCTGTAGTGGGCTGAGATCAGGCCACTGCACTCCAGCCTGGGCAACAGAGTGAGACCATATTTCCAAATATCGATATTTTCCTGCATTCCACTCTTCTCTGGACATAGATACATGCATGCATACATACATACATACATACATGCATGATTAGATAGATAAAAGATACATAGATAGATAGATATATATCTTAGCACATATATTGTTGTTGATTATTGGTAAATAGACGCTTTACATATACGAACACTTATTATTTCATCATCACCATCATTGCCATCATCAACATAATAGAAACAGTTAACTGCTCCCAGGTATGTACCAAGCTGTGAGCATATTAGGTCACTTATTCTCACAACTAAGAGATGGGAGCTATGATTATTCCTACTTATAGATGAGGAAACCAAAAACGAGAAAGTCAAATGACTTGCTCCAGGATCCACAGTCAAGAACAGAAGGGCCAGGACTAAAATGCAAGTCCATCTGAATTCTGAATGAAATTTGGGCTTGAAGCCACTGTACCGTATGCACATGGGGTCTGGCATCCAGCTGGTGCTCAGTGAATTTGTTCAATAAGTGTCTGCCTCTCTCTCTTCTTCTCAGAGTTCACTTCCCTGTGGCTGGCACCTACCGCTGGCCCAACATGGGTCTCTGCTTTGTGGTGAGAGAAGCTGTTACCACTGAAATTGAATTCTGTGTGTGGGATAAGCTCCTGGGTGAGATCAACCAACAGCAAAGCTGGATGGTGGCAGGGCCTCTGTTGGACATCAAGGCTGAGCCTGAAGCCATCAAAGCTGTGCACCTCCCTCACTTTGTGTCTCTCCAAGGTAAACAAGAGGGAAGGATGGAGAGGAAGGTGGTGGTAATTATGGGTCTGAAAGGGAGTATAGGACAATGATATCCTGGGAAAGGGTGTTGTGGCTTCCTTAGAGGAGCTGAGGGAGGGTTAAGGAGATGGCAATTAAGATTTTCCTGCATTCCACTCTTCTCTGGACATCTTTTTGAAACACGTCTCCCAGCCTCATAAATATGTCTGCCTAAACTTACTTGAAGGTTTTTATTAAGTGTTATTTATATAGTTCCCATCACTCAGGGTCCCAGCAGAAAAGAGATGATATGTTCACTTCGGATTTTTGAAGAAGCTTTTCAAAGACCAGACCATTCACAAAGTAAGGCTAAGTGAACTAACAAGAAATGTTGGGGCACTAGCACAATAAGAAGCCATCACTACTCCTACAGGCAGGGAAAAGAAACAGTGTCATCAGACTCCATCTGAGAGCTGGAGCCATGAAAGAGGGGCTTCCCAACAGAACATCGTAATCACAAAGTATCCTGACCTCTGTCACCTCCAAAGACTTCCCACAGATAGAGTTCCAAGAAATATCAGCTAACAGTCAAAAATCTCACAAAGGAGAAATAAGGCACAAGAAGTAAGAACCAGCAGAAACTAGATACCAGAATCAGTTCCTTAAATCCTTCAGATGTCGAAATTATCAGAAACAGAACATAAGTGTATATAATATGACCAAAAAAAAGTACCCTTAAAATTATCAGCAAAAATAATGAACCATTAAAAATGACATATCAAAGTTGGAAACTAAATTGACCAAAAAAATGAAAAAAACAGGAAAACAATCAAGTAACTTGTAGGATATCATGATAAGTCCTAATATATATCTAAATCAAATTCCAGAAAGATATGATAAAAGGGAAAAAAAGGAGTATCCAACAAGACAATTGCAAATACATTTCTAGAAGTATTGAGACATACAAGACCTCAAGATGAGAAATCCCAAAGAATGCAATGAAAGAAAGAGAGAGAGAGAAGAGAGATAAAAAAAATCAACATTAGTCTCATTATTGTGAAACTACAGAATAACAAAGTATGAGGGAAAGTCGACAGCAGCCAGAAAGATAGATTACCTAGAAAGTTGCCACAATCAGGCTGATGACTGATTTTTGAACTGCAACAATGGAAGACAGAAGACAATGGAATGATTTCTTCGATGTACTAAAAACCGTCAATCAAACATTGTAAACAAGGCCAGCTCAGTGCCTCACACTTGTGATCCTAGCACTTTAGAAGGCTGAGGTGGGAAGATCACTTGAGCCAGGAGTTCAAGACCAGCCTGGGCAAAATGGTAAAACCTCATCTCTACAAAAAAATTTTAAAAATAACCAGGAATGGTGGAACATGCCTGTGGTCCCAGCTACATGGAGGCTAAAGTGGGAGGATTGCTTGAGCCTAAGAGATCGAGGCTGCAGTGATCTGTGATTGCACCACTGCACTCCAGCCTGGGAGACAAAGTGAGACCCTGACTCAAAAAAAATACAAAAATTTTTTTTAAAGTTTGCAGAGAACTAAAACCACTAAAGCCAAGAATGCTTTCTGCAAACAAATGCTTGCTGAAAAAAAATCTGAAAAATGCATTTCAGATAACCAGGCACAGTAGCTCATGCCTGTAACCCCAGACTTTGGGAGGCCAAGGTGGGCCGATCACCTGAGGTCAGGAGTTTGAGACCAGGCTGACCAACATGGAGAAACCCCATCTCTACTAAAAATACAAAATTAGCCAATCATGGTGGTGCATGCCTGTAATCCCAGCTACTCAGGAGGTTGAAGCAGGAGAATAGCTAGAACCCAGGAGGCGGAGGTTGCAGTGAGCCAAGATCGCTCCATTGCACTCCAGCATGGGCAACAAGAACAAAACTCCATCTCAAAAAAAAAAAGATTAGCACACTGGTGAGGTGAAAAATAAATAGAAGCAATAATAAAGATACACTTCAGGCAAAAGAAAATGATCCCATATGCAAGGTCTGAGTGCAAGATAGAATGATAAGCAAAGATACTAAGATATTTCTTTGCTGTCATATATAAAAATTTTAAAAAGAGTCTGGGCACTGTGGCTCATGCCTGTAATCCTAGCACTTTGGGAGGCCGAGGTGGGTGGATCACCTGAGGTCAGGAGTTCAAGACCAGCCTGGCCATCATGGTCAAACCCCATCTTAAAAAAAAAATTAAAAATAGAAAAAAAAATTTTTAAAGAAAAAGGAATAAAAAGATACTGAGACATATGGGTAAATCTAACAAAACATTAACTGGATAAAGCAACAATATTAAGGACTCATGTGGGGATTTAAAAGAGAGAAACAACTATGTAAATACCAACACTAATAACAAATAAGAATGCTAAAGGATTCTAAAGTCTTGGTATATTTCAGAAGAAGGGAAAGTCAGGGCTGGCCTATAGAGAGATGCCCCAGTACTGCTGCCCAGGTTAAACTACTGAAATACTTTTGGCAGTGAGCATGGAGACATGCTGCAGACACAGCTACTGTAGGACCCTCCTGCCCAGGAGCCACTGGGCTCACTTACTCTCTTTCTCTCTCTCTCTCTCTTTCTTTCTCTTTCTCTCTTTCTTTCTTTTGAGATAGGGTCTCTGTCACCCAGTAGCAGCACAATCATAGCTCACTGCAACCTTGAAATCCTGGGTTCAAGTAATCTGCCCACCTCAGCCTCCTAAGTAGCTAGAATTCTAAGTGTGCACCACCACATCTGGCTCCCAGTGGACTCTTTACCCAACTGCTACTGCCAAAATTATAACTATCTCTGCATCTGTGTTTCATCCTGTAGACTTGAGGTCCCAGTTAGGGACAGCCACTTAGTCAAGTTATAGCCAAACATCTGTGTCTTTACTGCCAAGGAGCAGCAGCTTCCTGAGTGGGAGGCTCAGCTCGCCTCCTGCCAAGACCCACACAGTGCTAGGGTGAGGAGGCTCTTTCTAAAAGGAAGAGTTTGAATGGTGGGAGGCCAAACACCTGACCAATATAGGCTACTCCTGGTCATCCCATTTTCCCACTGCCCCTTCCTCCTCCTTGTTCTTTACCTGCCTAGAGTCAAACCTGCCAGCATCACCCAATGGTCTCTCATAGCGAATCCACACCAGCACAGGCAACCAAAGGTTCGATATCTTTCTCAGCTTCCGGGCCAGGGGCTGGGATTGCGTGCAAGTTTGGGTCAAGGGTATTCTTTGAGCTCCCTCTCAGGAGCTCAGCACTCCTAAGTGCTCCCACGTACTGGCTAAATTTCCCGCAGCCTCCAAACACCCCAGGCCTAGAAATATTCTTCCCCATGCTGGGTGTTCTAATCTGTTCAGACTGCTGTAACAAAATACCATAAACTAGGTAGCTTATAAATAACATAAATTTGTTTCTCACAGTTCTGGAGCCTGGTAAGTCCAAGATCAAGGCACCCACAGATTCAGTATTGGTGAAGGCCCTCTTCCTCATAGATGGAGCCTTCTAGCTGTGTCCTCACAGGGTGGAAGGGGCAAGCAAGCTCCCATGAGTCTCTTTTATAAGGGCACTAATCACAATCATGAGAATTCCACCCCCATGACCTAATCACCTCCCATAAAAGCTTCACCTTTTAATACCATCACCTTGGGGGTTAGAATTTCAACATATGTATTGTAGAGGGATACAGATATTCAAGACCATAGCACTGGGCTCCCCCAAGAAGATGCCTGAGCCTAAGCCCTGGGATCCTGTGATGCCAGCAAATCCTGACTCAGTGACAACACTAAATCTGTGCCTCTTAGAATGGGCGTGGTAGCTCACACCTATAATCCCAGCACTTTGGGAGGCTGAGGCAGGTGGATCACCTGAGGTCAGGAGTTCGCGACCAACCTGGCCAACATAGTGAAACCTCGTCTCTATTAAAACTACAAAAATTAGCTGGGCATGGTGGCAGGCACCTGTAATGCCAGCTTCTCAGGAGGCTGAGGCAGGAGAATCACTTGAACCCGGGAGGTGGAGGTTATAGTGAGTCAAGATCGTGCTATTGCACTCCAGGCTTGGTGACAAGAAACTCTGTCTCAAAAATAAATAAATAAAAATACATCTGTACCTCTTGAATCCATTCTTTGACAGGGGGCCACATGGATACATCCCTATTCCAAGTGGCCCACTTTAAAGAAGAGGGGATGCTCCTGGAGAAGCCAGCCAAGGTGGAGCTGCATCACATAGTTCTGGAAGACCCCAGCTTCTCCCCCATCGGAGTCCTCCTAAGAGTGATCCATAATGCCCTTCGCATCTTTCCCATCACCTCCATGGTGCTGCTCTACCACCGCATCCATCCTGAGGAAGTCACCTTCCACCTGTACCTGATCCCAAGTGACTGCTCCATTCGGAAGGTGACACTAAGAACCAGAAAGGCTGGGCCACGGTGGGTTGATGGTAAACACAAAATGCAGCCAGAGAGCCCCCTAGAGTGTCTTCAACTGGGACTAAGGATAAGCCTCTTGTACATGAGAACCTTGAAGTGGGTGAACAATCCATCCCTTCTCAGCCATGGACTGGTCTCCTGCCTCCCCGAGGTCTCCCCCAGAACTTTGGACGGTTTCTTGCAGCCCCTCTCCAGGAATCAAAGGATTGGAGACCTCCATGCCTAAACCTTTCCCCATTCTAACTTCTCTAACAACCCTATTCCCATCCTGAAGATAACAAAGACCAAGTGTGGGCTGTCTCGGTAGCAGTGCATGTGAGGAGGGAGGCAGTGCATGTGGGGAGGGAGGCAGGCCCCACTCTACCCACCCAAATACACCAATGCACCATCCCACCTACTCAGACAACATTTCATTGGGCAGAAGCCTCCCCTAATCATTGTTCCCTATGTTCCATAGGCCATAGATGATGAAGAAATGAAGTTCCAGTTTGTGCGACTACACAAGCCACCCCCGCTGACCCCACTTTATATGGGCTCTCGTTATGCTGTGTCTGGTTCAGAGGAGCTGGAAATAATCCCCGAGGTGAGCAGCCCAGTGTCTGCCTCTTCACTGTGAACGCAAGTCCTACTTGGAATGCCTGTGGGGCAGGTCTCAGGGCTTTCCCAGGGACAGGATAAATTGAGGTTGAACAGAAAGTGAGTGGGATTTAGGGAAAGTGGGAATGCTTCCAAGACTGAAAGTTCAGAGAAGGGAGGATCACATACAGGATAAGAAGATAGTGGGGTTTGACTTGGGGGCACTGGGAACTGTTTGGGCTATAGGTCGTCAATGTTCGCCAGTCAAGACCACCAGGGACACACCTGTAGTTGAACACACTGTGTTTATTACTCATTGCAGCGGCAGAACACATATTAAGGGAACCATGAGATGTCTCAGTAGAGGGTGTTATCATCTGCTATAGGATTTGGGCCTTGGTTGCATACATTGGAGGAAGATCTAAGGAAACAAAGATTTTCTTTAGATTGGCTCTTGGTTCAGGCCACATGGAGATTTGTGGAAGAGCATTTCAGGCAGAAGGAATGTGTGAGAGGCATAGAGTTGGGAGCAAGCCTGACACCTCCAGATGACAAAAAGAGGTCAGTATAACAAGAGATGAGTCAGATCAGAGGCAGAGTCTTCCCAGGCCTCATTTGCCCTGTTGGACCTGGTGTGCAGTTTGAACTTTGTTCTAAGTGCAATGGTAAGCTCTTGTGGCTTGTAAACATGGTAAAACAAGACGTGATTTATAGCCAAGCACAATGGCTCAGGCCTGTAATCCCAGCACTTTGGGTACCAAGATGGGAGGATCACTTGAGGTCAGGAGTTCAAAACCAGCCTGGCCAACATGGTGAAACCCTGTCTCTACTAAAAGTGCAAAATTAGCTGAGTGTGGCGATATCCCTGTAATGCCAGCTACTCAGGTGGCTGAGGAAGGAGAATCACTTGAACCTGGGTGGCAGAGGTTGCAGTGAGCCAAGATTTCACCACTGCACTCCAGCCTAGGTGACAGAGCAAGACTCTGTCTCAAAAAAAAAAAAAAAAAAAAAAAAAGAGAGACCTGATTTGCTTTCATAAAGATGCCTCTGGCTGCTGGGTGAGAATGAAGGAAAAGTATGCAGGCAAGAGTGAAACGAGAGAGACAAGTCAAAAGGCTGTTATGGGCCAGGCGTGGTGGCTCATGCCTGTAGTCCCAGCCCTTTGGGAGGCTGAGGCAGGTGGATCACCTGAGGTCAGGAGTTCAGGACCAGCCTGGCCAACATGGTAAAACCTAGTCTCTAATAAAAATGCAGAAATTAGCTAGGCATGGTGGCAGGCACCTGTAAACCCAGCTACTCAGGCGGTTGAGGCAGAAGAATTGCTTGAACCCAGGAGGCGGAGGTTGCAGTGAGCTGAGATCACACCACTGCACTCTAGCTTGGGCCACAGAGCAAGACCCTGTCTCCAAAACAAACAAACAAAAGGCTGTAGTGGTTGGGTACAGTGACTCACACCTGTAATTCCAACACTTTGGGAGGCCAAGATGGGAGAATTGCTTGAGACCAGGAGTTTAAGTCCAGCCTGAGCCATGTAGGGAGAACTCATTTCTATGAAAAATGAAAGAATAAGATAGGTATGGTGGCACACACCTGTAGTCCCAGCTACTTAGGAGGCTGAGGCAAGAAGATTGCTTGAGCCCAGGAGTTCAAGTCCAGCCTAGGCAACATGGAAAAACCCCATCTCACTTTAAAAAAGGAGAGAGAGAGAAGAAAAAAAAAGGAAAAGGCTGTTGCAATACTGCAAGCTACAGTTGAAGGTCACTTGACTAGGAAGGTAGCGAGGGAGATGGAGAAAAGTTTGTGAATTCAAGGTTGATTTTGAAGGTAGAGCCAACAGGACCTGCTGGATTGCCCGTGTAGGGAAGGAGTTAAGAATGATTCCTAGTTTGGAGCCTGCATGTTCAGTGGATGGTCCTATCCTTTACTGAGTTTGAGGAAACTGGAAAGGGAGCATATTTGGAAGACAGTGGGGAATCAAGAGTTCTGTCTTAGGTATGATTTAGGAAAGGGGATGGATATAAATTTTTGTCAATTGAAAGTGGGCCGAGTTTAGGATCTTTTGGAAAGACAGGCTTTGGGCTGCAGAAATTAGGATTTAGATTCAAGATGGGGGAGGTTGAGGAAGAAGGATCTGACTTAGGATGATGAGCACTACTTTTAAGGACAAGCCCTGACTCACCCATATAGTACCCAGTTGTGTCCTCATCCTTCTGGAGAAAATTGGGAAAAGAGCAGTGTCTGAAGGTGGTGATTGATTTCAATAAAGGGATCATCGAAGTGTCCCTATGGAGCCAAGCAGGGCCAAGAAGGTATCAGGTGGTGAAAGGCCTCCCATGCAAGATGAACAGGGTGGCAACTCAACTCTTTGCCTCTTCAGGAACTGGAGCTCTGCTATCGAAGCCCTGGAGAACCCCAGCTGTTCTCTGAGTTCTATGTTGGCCACTTGGGATCAGGGATCAGGCTGCAAATGAAAAACAAGACAGATGAGACTTTGGTGTGGGAGGCCTTGGTGAAACCAGGTAAAACCAGGACACGTCCAGAGAGCTCAGAGTTGGGAGGAGAAAGAAAGTCAATGAAAGTGTGTATGGGGGGGGGCATTATCACAATTTATTGATGAGAAGAAGTAGCCCCCAGGAGGTAGGTGGCTTTTTCAAGTTATGTAACGGTTGTTATGACTAGAATTTAAATGAGTCCATCTGACCCTCTAAAATGTGTGCTCTCTCCCATGCACAATGGTGTCTTCACAGTGCCCTTGAATGAACAATGTCAACATCCACAAAGCTTTTGGCTAAGTTTCTCATGATAGTTGGGATGTGAGGTGAAAGAATAAGACCTAGATACTTATATGGTTGTATGGATTACGCTGATTTGACAATTTCAGATACTCTCCCCTGTATCGCTCAGTATTTTCAAGGTAGACAAGAGGAAATCAAATAATAAATTTTCTGGGATGGAGAAAACTTATAGACTTTTAGTCTAGTACTAACACCCTAAGAATCTAAACCCCCTAAACAGTCCTTCTAGGACAACCAGCCCTAGTCAGCTGTCAAAAAATGGCGAATCCATTCTGAGCTACAACAAGCTGGCTTCGCAGTGTAGTGGAAAGAGGGTGGGCGTTACTGAGTCGTGGCCTTGGGTGCAACCACCAATGGAGAACTAGCCTGCCCCAACTTCAGACCTGGGTTCAAATCCCACTCTGGCACTTACTTGCTGGGTGACCTTGGGAAAATTACTTAATTCATTTGAGTCCCTCTTCTGTAAAATGATGATCATAATGACTAATTTGTAGAAATGTTGGAAAGATTAAATAAAGCGATGTCTATACATGCCTCATGCAATAATCCTCAACAAATCATAGCAATATTATCTATTTCCTCATGTTAGGCCAATCTCTGCCTCTTATCAGTCTTAATTCTGTCCCTTGGAACTCAGAAAAAGTTTATCTCCTTCCCCATGAGAAAGCCATTGAGAATCTTGGAGACTGTACTGATAGCCTTCCTGATGACTCTTGTTGTACAAGTTAGACATCTCCAATTGCTTCCAACATTCCAATTCCATTTTGGTTTGTAAATTCCTTTTTTTTTTTTTTTTTTTTAGACAAAGTCTTCCTCTGTTGTCCACACTGGAGTGCAGTGGTGCAATCTCGACTCACTGCAACCTCTGCCTCCTGGGTTCAAGCAATTCTCCTGCCTCAGCTTCCTGAGTAGCTGGGACTACAGGTGTGCACTACCACGCCCAGCTAACTTTTTTTTTTCTATTTTTAGTAGAGACGGGGTTTCACCTTATTGGTCAGGCTGGTCTTGAACTCTTGACCTCATGATCTGCCCACCTCGGCCTCCCAAAGTGCTGGGATTTCAGGTGTGAGCCACTGTGCCTGGCCAGTTTGTAAATTCTTTGCCATCTAGTCATGTTTCTCAGTAGATGCTCTGATGTGGGAATGAGTCAGAATTGACCCTAGACTGTCCAGGCAGCAGAAAGGATGTGAAACACCCTCTTTTCTCCACCCACATCGATCTGGTGTTTCTGGTATCACAACCTGAACTCCCTCCCCTGTACCCACCTCCTGCACCATGAGATCATACTGAACTTGGAGCCTGCTCAAACTCTCAGGCCTTGCACATATGAGCTGCTATGAACTTCCCCTTTCTCTCCTTTGCAAAGCAATTTTTAAGTACCTCCATTTTTGTTATCTGGTTTTTTCTGTTAAAATTCATTTGTTATTCCCGTGTCTGAAAATTGCTTGATGTTGATTCTAGATTCTGACATCCAAATGCAGAACATACACCTTTGGTTGGTGCCAGTCTAGAAGGCTAAAACAAAGAACAAGGAAATAGATTTCCGCTAGAACAAGGAGGTGCTAAATAGTTCAAGCCATCTAGCAAGGGGCTTGGTTAGTTCACCAGGGATACAGTTCAGACCAACACTGGATCAAACCAAATCTGGGATGTTGTAGGAGAAATTGCTATTGCTCATTTGGATGCCTTCTCTCTATTACTCTATGATCACAATTTCTGGGTCTCAGTTTCCCCATATGCATAAGGAAGGGGTTCACCTAGATAACTTCTAAGGACCCTTCCAGCCCTTACTCCAGATTCTATCAGAATTTGTCTGTAGCTTTCTTCTAAATCAAAGAATCTCAGCCAGGTGCAGTGGCCCACGCTTGTAATCCTAGCAATTTGGGAGGCTGAGGTGGGTGGATCACAACCTCAGGAGTTCAAGAGCAGCCTGGCCAACATAGTGAAATCCCGTCTCTACTGAAAATATAAAAAATTAGCCAGGTGTGGTGGCACATGCCTGTAATCCCAGCTACTTGGGAGGCTGAGGCAGTACAATCGCTTGAACCTTGGGGAGCAGAGGTTGCAGTGAGCTGGGATTGCACCATTGCACTCCAGCCTAGGTGAAGAGTGAGACTCTCTAAAAAAAAAAATGTCAGAAGTGATTGGGAGTTTGGAGGTGTATCATGTGTTAATAACTTAGCACTACTACAGATGCATCTTCGTCTCTGTTTTCCTCCAGGAGATCTCACACCGGCAACTACTCTGGTCCCTCCAGCCCCCAAAGGTCAGTAACAGCTCTCAGAGACCACAGGAGGCAGTGGCAGTCTGGTTCTGGGGGGAAAGGAAGAGAGAAAGGAAGGGACTCATCAATGCAGACCTCACAAGGGATCAGGCTCTGGAGAGCGGTGCATGGTCCCTCCCTCTATCCCCTTGTCCTATCCACAGAGGCCCTAGAACTCCACACCTGAGAGCCTCTAGTGCCCCCATCAGGAACCCCACTTCCAGTCCCCACTCTAACAGAATGCCAGGCTAGATGCTGACATGAAAGAAGATAGAGGTGCATTTCTGGAGACAAAAGGAAGCAAGGGATGCAGAAAAGAGAGAGAAAAGCATGGAACATGGGGAGTGGAGGTGGAGGCTGTGGTCAGAGCCCGTCTTTGTTCATTGCCAGCCTTACCTTCCCCTCTGGATGCCCCGGGGTTGCTGCACTTCGTGGACCAGTATCGAGAGCAGCTGGTAGCCCGAGTGACATCAGTGGAACCTGTCTTGGACAACCTGCTTGGACATGTGCTGAGCCAGGAGCAGTACGAGAGGGTGCTGGCTGAGGACACCAGGCCCAGCAAGATGCGGAAGCTGTTCAGCTTCAGCCGGTCCTGGGACAGAAGCTGCAAAGATCGACTCTACCAAGCCCTGAAGGACACCCATCCTTACCTCATTATGGAACTATGGGAGAAGGGCAGCAAAAAGGGACTCCTGCCACTCAGCATCTGAGGTATGAACACCAGCCCTTGAGTCCTGGCTTTGCCTGACCCTTCTTTGGGTCTGTTTCTTTCTCTGCAAACAAGTTGCCATCTGATTTGCCTTCCAGCACTAAAGTAGTGGAACTTTGATGATGCCTTTGCTGGGCATTATGTGTCCATGCCAGGGATACCACATGGGGCCCCAGCCCAGGTGGCCTAACAGCATCTCAGGGAATGTCCATCTGGAGCTGGCAGGACCCCTGCAGACCTCATAGAGCTGCATCTGGTGGCCACAGCAGCCAAGCCTAGAGCCCTTCGGATCCCATCCAGATGCAAGGAGGAATAGGAGAGACATGGAAACGTTTGCCTCTGGCTATGTCACAGGATGAGTCCCAAAACTGGGGTTCAGCATGGGAGGCCACGTGGATTACTGGCTTCGCACAGGAAGATATACAAGAGCAAGCCAACAGAAAAGTGGAAGGACGTTTATTAAGAAAATAAAGGAGTGTTACAGCTCTTTTAGAATTTGTCTAGCAGGCTTTCCACTTCTTACCAGAAAAACCTTCAGGCCACACACCCATCAGGCTGGCCTTGTCCTTCGGGTCCTTCATGCCTCACCCACCCATCTCCTTTAGCACACACAGACCTCTGCTCTCCACACAACCCTCCCTCCAAGAAGAAGTGAGTTCCCTCATTTTTCACACTTGCTCCTCCTTGTGCTGCCCATGGAAAATTAGGACACTTCACACAGACACCTGGGTGGGGTCACTACCCAGCCCCACCCTCTCCCCATCCCCATCCAGCCAGGAACTCACCTGGACTAGATTGCTGAAAACCACAGTGATATTCCACAGGCCCCAAACTGTGGGTTCCCTGGAACCAACACCTTCTGAACCACACAACAATAGACAGTCCCAAAACTCAGATTCAGCAAAATGCATCTTCAAAAGATCTTACTACCTTTTTCTTTCCAGACCCCAAGGGTTATCAGGAGGACTGAGCCAAGTTGTTTAAGGAAGAAACAGAAAGAACCACACACCCAAATGAAGATGCACTTGATCAAGCTGCATTTTATCCATAATACCAGCAGGAGGCCTCTGCTATCCCCAGTGCTCTATAGACACAAACCCAGTCAATCTGCACAGGGACACCAGGAGGAGATGCTGTTATCAGCCCACTTTACAGATAATGCACACGCAGGTCAAGTAATCTGCTCAGAGTCCCACATTTGGTAAGAGCCCTTGCTGGGAGTCAAAACCGGGCAGTCCAGATCATTTAGCTGCTCTCCTAGATGACTCTCTAGTGCCCCACCTTTATGTGATGTGGGTGCCACTGTCCCTGCTTCAGCAGGAGAGTCACTGTGCCCCTCAGCAGCTCACATGAGCCTGGAAGGTGCTGACAACACACTCAGCAGAGAGGGCAGGGCCAGGCATCAGGCCACAGGCCCAAGGGCAGCATCTAAAGGAGGGAGAGTCCCCAGGCAGCAATGTCCCAAGGCCGGCACTGGGCATGTGGCTGAGAAAGGACGAAGGAGCTGATGGGCTTTCATTGCAGAGCACTAGTGATGCTTTGAGCCATTTTTCTATTCATTGCCTGTCTTCTCTATTGGGCTATGCACTCTGAAATTGCAGTATCCACATCTTCCCTGTTCACAGCTACATCCATAAGCCCTGGCACAATGTAAGTGTATTAGGCTGGGCACAGTGGCTCAGGCCTGTAATCCCAGCACTTTGGGAGGCCAAAGCACCCACACAGTGCTGGACAACGAGGTTCATCCTGAAAAGAAGAGTTTGAATAGTGGGAGGCCAAACACCTGACCAATGTAGGCTACTCTTGATCCTGCCCCTTCCTCCTCCTTGTTCTCTACCTGCCCAGAGTCAAACCTGCCAGCATCATCCAATGGTCTCTCAGAGTTACAGAATCCACAGCAGCACAGGCAACCAAAGTTTCTATATCTTTCCCAGCTCCAGGGCCAGGGGCTGGGCCCGTGTATGAGTTTGACTTAAGGGAGTTCCTGAGATGCAGCCACCTTATAGAATTTCTCACAACCTCCAAAGGCCCCAGGCCCAAGCATATCCCCTTCCCGATACTGGGTGTCTTAGTCCATTCAGGCGCCTATAAGAAAATACCATTAACTGGGTGGCTTATGATTTACAAATGTTTATTTGTTTATTTCTTACAGTTCTTGAGAGTATTCAGACCAAGAACAAGGTGCTGGCAGATTCAATGTCTAGTCAGGGTCCTCTTCCTCATAGATGTCATCTTCTAGCTGTGCCTTTACAGGGCAAAGGAGCAAACAAGCTCCCTTGAGTCTTTTTATAAAGGCACTGATCCTATTCATCAGGATGCGTGTTCAGTGGACAGTACCACCTTTACCGACTTTGGGGAAACTGGAGAAGGAGCCGGCAAAACTGAAGATGGGTTTTTGGACTTGCCAGCCTATATAATCATGTCAGCCAATTCTTAAACATAAATGTCTCAATATATATACACATCTTATTGGTTCTTTTTCTCTGGAGAACCCTGACTAATACAATGTTGCCCTTAGGGTTAATGAGTTAACATACTGAACACTTTATATATATTATAAATGGTCTCATCCTGACCTTCACAGCACTGGAATACCTCGCATATCAGCTGTGGGAACTCAAATCCTGGGAAGAATAACACTGCCTCCTGGCAGATGCAAGGAGGAATAGGAGGGACATGGGACCCTTTGCCTCTGGCTGGAGACAGAAAATGGAAATGAACATGTGTCCTTGTGAGATCTGGATGGCTTATGAATGGAGGCAGAGGGAGAAATTTAGTTTTCACTTGTTATTCTGTCCAGCCACCCCAGAAGCAGCATGCGGGGAATTCCCACAAGGGACTACTTCAAACCATACCAAGATGGGGGCTGGCTGGGATTCCAAAACCAGAAGCACTAAATTCAGGGTGATCAGTTCAAAGCCTTTAATAGGGGAGCTGACACAGAGAGTGGAGTACAGTGTATCTCTGAGACTAACAGCAAGAGAAAAGGGATTCTATGTAGATATTTCTGCAGCAAGAGGGTCAGGTATGGAGTTTATAGGAGGCCTGGGGCTACAACCAGCTTCCTTCAGTGTTTTGGGCAACAACCTAGATACCTTTGTCAGTGTCTGAGAATGTTCAAGGCCTGGGTTTGGTTCAAGCCTGCTGGGAAAAACCTGCATCTGGCTGGGTCATAGCATAGTTAAGGCACTCTGTGATTTTCAGTCAAGTCACAGAAAGAAAGCAGGGGTAAAGGGACATAGGGATCCTATCCACCTTCTGGACCTTCTGACCTTTTTGCTTACATCACATTGCCAGCATGTTCAGTAATGTGGCTGACTGTGGGAATCTTCCTCTAGAGATCAAAGTGTTCCTGAACTTTTGTATCTCAGCTCTTGTAATAAAAGTGGAGTCTAGCAGGATACCCACACTTTGAGAAAAATATTCCTTACCTAAGATCCAGGTAACTGTGCCTTTTCTCTGGTCTCAGGTAGGATAAGCTTATGTAGAAAGCATAAACAAGGCCAGGAACAGTGGCTGATGCCTTTAATACCAGCACTTTGGGAGGCCAAGGTGAGTGGATCACCTGAGGTTAGGAGTTCGAGACCAGCCTGGCCAACATGGAGAAACCCCATCTCTACTAAAAATACAAAAATTAGCCAGGTGTGGTGGCCTGTGCCTATAATCCCAGCTACCCAGGAGGCTGAGGCAGGAGAATCAATGAACCTGGGAGGCAGAGGTTGCAGTGAGCCATGATTGTGCCATTGCACTCCAGCCTGTGCAACAAGGGTGAAACTCTATCTCGAAAAAGAAAGAGAGAGAAAGAGAGAGAGAAAACCAATTTAGGCCAAGACCCTGGGTTTTCATTTCAAAAACAAGAAAGTTATGCATAACGAACTTGCTGATTTGAATGGATTTCAGGTCAGCTGCCTGGGTCAGCAGTTTTCTGCTAAATGTGGCAGGTGTACAACCTGCATCTGAATTTGATGTCCTCAGCTCTCTTAAGAGAGAAAAAAAAAATACCCTATTTGTTTTAGACCTTCTTTCTTCTCCAAGTAGCCAAGGCTCCTCAATGGAGTCCCTCAGAAGCATGGGGGAGTCCTCCTAGGACTAAACTATTTGCTTCTGTTACCTGCACTGCACATCACGTTGCACAGTATAGTGCAATTAGTTGACTCTAGCTTATTCCATTCTCAAGATAAAACCCTGGATCTCTCTAGAGGAAGCTCTGATTCTCTCCTGTGATCAGGAAGTTGCAAGTACATTCTGGTAGCTCAGGGCCTTCCCAAGGAACTGTCCACCAAGTTTTAGCTCCCAGCTGGAGGTGAAATGATTGGTGGGGCCACAACACTGAGAATCGTTGCAGACAGGGTACATGGGGGTTGCCTCCAACTTCCCACCGTACCACCTCTAAGGAGTGCCCAACTTTTTGTGGGGAGACTCAAATGGCCCTCCTTTGCTGAGGGCATGGGGGTATTTTTAATGCACTGAGGGGGTGGGTAGTCAGGGATCGAGAGAGCGCAGGCATCCTTGAAGCTGAACGGAGACATGTGTGAACACTTAAGTGATAGCCTGCTAGTATGGCCTTCAGGGCCTTCCTTGTTCTAAAGGTGTTCAGTATATTCACTCATTAACCCTAAGGGCAACACTGTATTAGTCAGGGTTCTCCAGAGAAAAAGAACCGATAGGATGTCTATACATATTGAGACATTTATTTTTAGGAACTGGCTGACATGATTATATAGGCTGGCAAGTCCAAAATCTATAGAATAGGCTGGCAGGCTGAAGACCCAGGGAAAAGCTGATGCTGCAGTTCAAGCCCAAAAGCCTTAGAAAAGCTGGAAGAATTCTCTGAAGCCTTCAACTGTTTGGATGAAGCCCACCCACACTGAAAAGGGCAATTCACTCTACTCAAAGTCCACCAATTTGTGGCTGGGCACAGTGGCTCACACCTGTAATCCTAGCACTTTGGGAGGCCGAGGCAGGAAGATCACCAGCTCAGGAGATGGAGACCATCCTGGCCAATATGGTAAAACCTCGTCTCTACTAAAAATACAAAAATTAGCAAGGCATGGGGTGTGTGCCTGTAATCCCAGCTACTCGGGAGGCTGAGGCAGGAGAATCGCTTGAACCAGGGAGTCAGAGGTTACAGTGAGCTGAGATGGCGCCACTGCACTCCAACTCCAGCCTGAGTGACAGAATGAGACTCTGTCTCAAAAAAAAAATGTCCACCAATTTAAATGTTAATCTTGAATAAAACTAGAAATTTTTTTGTAACAAGAGGAATTTTGGAAACGGTACACATTAAAAAATTAAATGATATGACCCTGAATGACCAGTGGGTAAATGATGAGATTAAGAAGGGAGTTAAAAATTTTCTTGAAGCCAATGATAATGGAAACACAACATACCAAATCTATGGGATATGGCAAACACAATACTAAAAGAGAATTTTACAGCTATAAGCATCTACAGCAAAAAAAGAAAAACATCAAATAAATAAGCTAATAACACATCTTAAAGAACAAAAAAGCAAGAGCAAACCAAACCCAAAATTAGTAAAGAAATAATAAAGAGCAGAAATAAAATTCAAACAAAGAAAGTACAAACGATCAACAGAACAAAAAGTTGTTGTTTTGAAAAGATAAACAAATTGACAAAACCTTAGTCAGATTAACAGACTAAGAAAAAAAGAAAAGAACCAAATAAATGAAATCAGAGATTCAAAAGGAAACATTACAACTGATACTGCAGAATTTCAAAGAATCCTTGGTGATTACTCTGAGCAACTATATGCCAATAAACTGGAAAATCTAAAAGAAATGGATAAATTCTTAAGTACAGTCAATCAACCTATCAAGATTGAACCATGAAGAAACCCAAAATCTGAACAGACCGATAATAAGGAACAAGATGTAAGCTGTAATAAAATGTCTCCCAGCAAAGAAAAGCCCAGGACCTGATGGCTTCACTGCTGATTTCTAAAGAAAAAAAAAAAGAATTAATACCAATCCTACTCAAACTATTCTGAAATAAGAGAAGGGAATACCTCCAAACTCATTCTCTGAGGCCGGTATTATCCTGACACCAAAACCAAAGATGCATCAAACCATGAAAACTACAGGCCAACATTGATGCAAAATCCTCAACAAAATCGTAGCAAACCGAATCCAACAACACATTAAAAAAAATCATTCCTCAGCCAGGCACGGTGGCACACACCTGCAATCCCAGCACTTTGGGAGGTCGAGGTGGGCAGATCACCTGAAGTCAGGAATTCGAGACCAACCTAACCAACATGGAGAAACGCATCTCTACTAAAAATACAAAATTAGCCGGGTGTGGTGGCACATGCCTGTAATCCCAGCTACTTGGGAGGCTGAGGTAGGAGAATCCCTTGAACCCAGGAAGTGGAAGTTGCGGTGAGCTGAGATCGCACCATTGCACTTTAGCCTGGGCAATAAGAGTGAAACTCAATCTCAGAAAAGAAAAAAAAAAATCATTCATCATGACCAAATGGGGCTTATCTCAGGGATGCAAGGATGGTTCAACATAATGCAAATCAATCAATATCATATAACAACAGAATGAGGACAAAAACCATATGATAATTTCAATGGATGCTGAAAAAGCATTTGATACAATTCAACATCTCTTCATGATTAAAAAAAAAACTCAAAAAACGATATAGAAGGAACATACTTCAACATAATAAAATCCATATGTGACAGACCCGCAGCTAGTATCATACTGAATGGGAAACATTGAAAGCCTTTCCTCTAAGATTGGAAACAGAGCAAGGATGCCACTGTTATTCAACATAGTACTGGGAGTCCTAGCTAGAGCAGTCAGGTAAGAAAAAGAAATAAAGGGCATCCAAATTACAAAGGAAAAAGTCAAATTATCCTTGTTTACACATGACATGATTTTATATTTGGAAAAACCTAATGACTCTACCAAAAAACGATTACAACTGATAAATTCAGTAAAGTTTCAGGATACAAAATCAACATACAAAAATTAGTAGCATTTCTTTCTTTCTTTTTTTTTTTTGAGATGGAGTCTTGCTCTGTTGCCCAGGCTGGAGTGCAGTGGCACAATCTCTGCTCACTGCAATCTCCACTTCAGGTTCAAGCGATCCTCCTGCCTCAGCCCTGCTAGTAGCTGGGATTACAGGCACATGCCCCCATGCCTGGCTAGTTTTTGTATTTTTAGTGGAGACGGGGTTTCACCATGTTGGCCAGGCTGGTCTCAAACTTCTGACCTCAGGTGATCCGCCCGCCTCAGCGTCCCAAAGTGCTGAGATTACAGGCGTGAGCTACCGCCTGCCCGGCCATTAGCATTTCTATGTGTCCACAGTGAACAAGCTGAAAAAGAAATCAGGAAAGTAATCCTGCTTACAATAACTACAAATAAAACAAAATACCTAGGAATTAAAGAAGTGAAAGATCTCCACAAGGAAAACGAAAACATTGAT